AGTAATGTATCAACCATTAATTAGCGTCTTTGCTAGGGTAATGTTGTATCAACCAGCAATCACGTCTTTGCTAGATTATGTTGTACCAGCTATTTATCAGCATCTTTCTGTTGTATCAACTACCGATCAATCTCAGTTGATGTAAATTGTTAGATCACGGCATTCTGTGTTGATTTGTCGTTGGTTTGATCTAATTTGTGGTGGATAGGAGCTAATGTAGTGGGCCTATGGTGTAATGTAGGACAGCTCTGAGCTAATGTAGGTACTGTATCGCATCTCTGAGCCAAAATGGGCTTGCTCTGGGCTGTAGTAGGGCAGCTCTGAGCTAATATACGCTAACTGTGAGCTACTGTCGAACAGCTCTGGGTAATGTATCACAGCTCTGAGCTAATGTAGGACATCTCAGAGCTAATTTAGGACAGCTCTGAGCTAATGTAAGACAGCTCTAATCCATCCTTTCATCTTCAAACCCCAACAGCCAACATTTCTCTGCCATTACATGGCCTAGCACAATCAATTATGGCACCAACCTGTAGGCTATACAATTTTAAACGCTAAAATACGAGAAGCCAATCATTTAACTCCATGGTGCTACTGGTAGCGATCTATAAATTGACCTGAAATATTTATTCCATAAACTGACTGTGTTTTAAAACATTTAAACTAGATTTTTGAGATACGCGACAAGCTTTCTAACTCTAACCAGTTTTTAAAGTTATTTTATGTAGCTAGTAAATTCGATCTAGGTAAATTCTGTCTAGACGTTGATTAAAAACAATTTTGCCTTTTTTTTCGCCTCACAATGCAGCCTGTTTTGAAATTCATTCCATATTAATGTATTCAGCGAAAAGGCAGACATATGTTTTTCTCCTCCATGATAAACTGCGCCAATCTGCAATTTGATTTAGTGGGTAGACACAATCTGGCCAGATAAATGCAAGTGTGGCCAAATATTGAATTTAATTTTAAATTGAAATTTTGTTTAAAATATGTAATTTAATTTATTGACATAAATTTCAGCGGACGAAATGTCAGTTAAGTTCTCGTGTTTCAACCCGGTATATTTTTTACCTTGTGTGTTTCGCCTATAGGTTTTTGCCTAGTTTGTGTGTAGGTTTGTCTACCTGCTTGATTTGGCAGGTGTTTGTGGGGCTAAAGCTGGATTACCGTATCCTGTGGCAGGTATCCGGCAGCTTCTCATTACATTAACGGGTATCACGTGATGTCCGGATATAACCCACCCCACATCTCTAGTAATCTGACACAGGGTTGTCAGTACTTAGTTCCCCATGTTTACATTTTTTGTCCTACATTTGACTTGCATTATGCGATTAGTTTTGGCTTAAGTTTTTGGTAAAGTTAATTAATAAACGGAGTGAGTATGTTTATGGGTATCAAATGTTTATCCTCTATTGAGTGTACTGCAAAAAGAGTTCTAAAGTGTTTTCGCTGGTTGGGTTTCAGATTCTTAAGTGTTTTAGCTGGTTAGGTTTCAGATTAGGTCTTACCAACTTGCGGAACTTTTGTTTCATGTTGGGTTTACAAGACAAATCAAGTCTTTTAGTTTTTGTTATTTTATTACGTCTTTAGCACAAAAATGGAGTCTTTGTTTCTGTTAGATGTTTAGAACATGATCTGGTCTCTGGGTTTATGTTAGGTTAGAAAGATCTTGGGTCTACAGTTCTGCTGTTGTTCTTTTATTTAACGAAACTCTACTTCATCTGCCGACACTATTAACTGTCTACTACATTACACTAATGACTTACTTGTTTATCCCCCCACCCCCTATCCCACTGCACCAATGTTACCTATTGGGTTAGTTTCGAAACTGAAGCAATATTTGTAATGAAATGAGAATATTAAGAAATTAACTATTTTCGTAATTTAGTTCAGAAAATAACACCTAATCCCGTCTTAGATATACGTACTCCATAACGTCTAACTAATCTATCCTAATGCCGTCTAAACACTAGTTGCATCGCCCAACTACTCACAGTTGACAACATAAGTTAAACCATGCCTTCGTGTCAGCTTAGAACCATTTTTCTGTTGCCTCTACTTACCTGTCGATGCACCTGACGTGTAGGACTTTCATCAGTGTTTAGGTTTAAAGGTATCAAGATGCCGGCAGGAAACTGTTCACAATGTTGTCGTGGAAGTGTTACGCAATGTCCATCATTTGACGTATTAGTTGTCATGGAGCTGTGCACAGTTCGTTTATAAGACAGTAGACATTGTAAACATTCAGATCATGTTCACGCGAAAGATGTGTTTGGATGTTGATTAAGTGAATTGACCGCGGGCCTTCTAATGTTGTACCGCCAAGTGGTCCACGGGCCAAATTTGGTGGGCTACTGTTGAGATTTTGGTGGGCCACTGTTGAGTTTTGGTGGGCCACTGCTAAGGTTTTGGTGGGCCGACGTGTTTTAGTATTCTGCCAATGGATAACGTCGCCTAAACATGGGGACCTGTTGTTCCAAGCCCAAGTATCACCGACGTCTGAAAAACGTTGGCATCAAATATCAGCAACCGGAAGTGGCCTATCACAAAGTGCCGGAGGTAAGTTGTTTCAGGGCCTGGGTGGGGAGTTACTGGGTACCCGTTTCTTTAACATGATCTGGGCTGGTGACTTGATTGGTGGGTTACTAGGTACCCGTTTCTAAAACAGGACACCTACCACCATAAATCTATCTCCCATCAAACATATACCCCATCTCCCATCAAACAGATACCCCATCTCCCAACAGATACTCCATCTCCCATCAGATACCCCATCTCCCATCAGGTACCCCATCTCCCATCAGATACCCCATCTCCCATAAGATACTCCATCTCATCAATCAGATACCCCATCTCCCATCAGATACCTGATATACAGTCACATCAACAGCCCATCAACCATCACCACATCAACCATCGCAACCAACTAATCAGCCACTTTACCTGTACGCTTCATTAGCGACAAATAATGAATAAAAGAGAAGCAAATCGATTTTTTTGGTCTTCTGTGTCACCTTGACCTACTGGCCGACCGCTGAGCGTGACACGTCATCCATTGCCCGTGCTGGGGGTAGGGGGGGGGGGGGTGACAGGTGTAAAACGAGCTGAGGTTGAGCAAGAAGATTGTTGTCTGTCTGTTGTACTGGTGTTTAGTTACTCAGCCGTCTGGTCAGCAAAGTTTTGTAATGCTTGTTTTGTCCACATCACTAGCTAATTGAATTTGACTTTAGTGTTCAGGTCTGGTCAGCAAAGTTGTGTAATGCTTGTTTTGTCAACATCACTAGCTAATTCAATTTGACTTTAGTGTCCAGGTCTGGTCAGCAAAGTTGTGTAATGCTTGTTTTGTCCACTTCATTAGCTAATTGAATTTTACGTTTGTGTTCAGGTCTAGTCAGCAAAGTTGTGTAATGTTGTTTTGTCAACATCACTAGCTAATTGAATTTGACTTTAGTGTTCAGGTCTAGTCAGCAAAGTTGTGTAATGCTTGTTTTGTCCACTTCATTAGCTAATTGAATTTTACGTTTGTGTTCAGGTCTGGTCAGCAAAGTTGTGTAATGTTGTTTTGTCAACATCACTAGCTAATTGAATTTGACTTTAGTGTTCAGGTCTAGTCAGCAAAGTTGTGTAATGCTTGTTTTGTCCACTTCATTAGCTAATTGAATTTTACGTTTGTGTTCAGGTCTAGTCAGCAAAGTTGTGTAATGTTGTTTTGTCCACTTCATTAGCTAATTGAATTTTACGTTTGTGTTCAGGTCTAGTCAGCAAAGTTGTGTAATGTTGTTTTGTCAACATCACTAGCTAATTCAATTTGACTTTAGTGTTCAGGTCTAGTCAGCAAAGTTGTGTAATGCTTGTTTTGTCCACTTCATTAGCTAATTGAATTTGACGTTTGTGTTAAGGTCTAGTCAGCAAAGTTGTGTAATGTTGTTTTGTCAACATCACTAGCTAATTGAATTTGACGTTTGTGTTCAGGTCTAGTCAGCTACGTTGTGTAATGTTGTTTTGTCAACATCACTAGCTAATTCAATTTGACTTTAGTGTCCAGGTCTAGTCAGCAAAGTTGTGTAATGTTGTTTTGTCCACATCACTAGCTAATTGAATTTGACTTTAGTGTTCAGGTCTAGTCAGCAAAGTTGTGTAATGCTTGTTTTGTCCACATCACTAGCTAATTGAATTGGACGTTTGTGTTCAGGTCTAGTCAGCAAAGTTGTGTAATGTTGTTTTGTCCACATCACTAGCTAATTGAATTTGACTTTAGTGTCCAGGTCTAGTCAGCAAAGTTGTGTAATGCTTGTTTTGTCCACATCACTAGCTAATTGAATTTTACGTTTGTGTTCAGGTCTAGTCAGCAAAGTTGTGTAATGTTGTTTTGTCCACATCACTAGCTAATTGAATTTGACTCAATAAAATTCGCCAGAAGAGTTATGTAGATCACTAAGAGATCACAGCATTACAAGTGTTATTTTAACCTCAATAAAAATATTCCAGTTTGTTACTTCCCCTCGTCATTGAGAATAAAACAATAAAGACTGCCTTAATTAGGCCTTAACTACCTTAAGTTAATTTATCATTGACTTACACACATTTTAGATCTATCTTACTTTTCAAACTATCTTTTCAACTCTCTCCAAAACAAAAGAACGCCTGTGTGTTGAACAAGTTCATCATCTAGTTGTCTTGGTCCTTTTGTCACCATCTTTTCTTTTGTTGTTTTTGACCAAATACACACTTCATCTCATATTCTCTTGTCATTATACAAATGAACAAACATATACAGGATTAGAAATAATGACATACATACTTATACATTTTTTCACATAAAACTACAAGGTAAAGAAACCTATAGGATGACACTCCATTTCCATTTTGTAGATTTACACACAATTGTAAAGAGAACCAGTTCCATGTTATACATTTACACACAATTGTAAAGAGAACCAAACTAAACCACCACCAAACTGTTGAAGATTCTCTATGTTTGTTCCTTCATTCATTCACAGATCACAGAAGAATGTAACACTCTGAAGCTCTCCTTGGCCACTGCACAAAAGGAAAGAGAAGCTGCCCATGAGGAGGTTCAGCACCTCAACTTGAGGGTTCACAGCCTCGAGAACCTTGTCAGGGTAGGATAACTCTGTCATACACTATGTGTTCATGAATCAAGTCAGGGTGAGATAACTCTGTCATACACTATGTGTTCATGAATCAAGTCAGGGTAGGATAACTCTGTCATACACTATGTGTTCATGAATCAAGTCAGGGTGAGATAACTGTCATACACTATGTGTTAATTAATCAAGTCAGGGTGAGATAACTCTGTCATACACTATGTGTTCATGAATCAAGTCAGGGTAGGATAACTCTGTCATACACTATGTGTTAATGAAGTCAGGGTGAGATAACTCTGTCATACACTATGTGTTAATGAATCAAGTCATGGTAGGATAACTCTGTCATACACTATGTGTTCATGAATTAAGGCAGGGTAAGATAACTCTGTCATACACTATGTGTTAATGAATTAAGTCAGGGTGAGATAACTCTGTCATACACTATGTGTTAATTAATCAAGTCAGGGTGAGATAACTCTGTCATACACAATGTGTTAATGAATTAAGTTAGGGTAGGATAACTCTGTCATACACTATGTGTTAATGAATCAAGTCAGGGTAGGATAACTCTGTCATACACTATGTGTTAATGAATCAAGTCAGGGTAGGATAACTCTGTCATACACAATGTGTTAATGAATCAAGTCAGGGTAGGATAACTCTGTCATACACTATGTGTTAATGAATTAAGTTAGTTTAAGATAACTCTGTCATACACTATGTGTTCATGAATCAAGTCAGGGTAGGATAACTCTGTCATACACTATGTGTTAATTAATCAAGTCAGGGTAGGATAACTCTGTCATACACTATGTGTTCATGAATCAAGTCAGGGTAGGATAACTCTGTCATACACTATGTGTTCATGAATTAAGTCAGGGTAGGATAACTCTGTCATACACTATGTGTTAATGAATTAAGTCAGGGTAGGATAACTCTGTCATACACTATGTGTTAATGAATCAAGTCAGGGTAGGATAACTCTGTCATACACTATGTGTTAATGAATTAAGTCAGGGTAGGATAACTCTGTCATACACTATGTGTTAATGAATTAAGCCAGGGTAGGATAACTCTGTCATACACTATGTGTTAACATAATTTTTATTTCTAAATTGCTGTTTCCAAGTAAATACACCTAACGTGAAACTGGATTTATAAAAACACACCCCCCCCCACACACACACCTAGTAATTATAAAAACAATAAAAGAAACCATTAAATGTTATTTCTTATATTGACAAAGACATTAGGTCAGAGCTTAAGCTGTTGTTTATTTACCTAGTTAATTATTTATTTGTTTTATAACTTGATTGCCCCAGCCTGTTGATGTGATTATTGATTTTGTTGTTGTTGTAAGCCACAGGATCTTCCTTGACAATATATGATCACTGATAATTTACTGGTCATGTGTAACAAAAAACATGTTTTGTTTAGTGAAACAATATTATTGGTTTTTGTTAGGTGGAAGAAAAGTTAGGAATTTTAAAAATTGGATTAAGTATGAACATTTTAAATGAAAGGATAATTTTAATGTTTCTGTTTTAGGTATTAAAATATTTTTTCATGGAAAAATGGTTATGTTGATGTTTTTGTTAAATACAGAAATGGTAATTTAAAAAAAATATTTCAGGATCTCCAAGAGTCAGCCGAGTCAGTGAGTCAGTTGGAGAATGAACGTAAACTTGCCTTGTCAGAACTTCAGCAGAAGCAAGCTCAGCTTGAGCAGTTTCAGAAGGTAAGCGTTGCTCAGGTAACGACACCTCACACAATGTAAGCAGTGCTGAGGTAATTTGACACCCCACAGAAGGTAGGAATGTGCTCAGATATCTTGACACTCACAGAAGGTAAGCAGTGCTCAGGTAACTTGACACTCACAGAAGGTAAGCAATGCTCAGGTAATTTGACACCTCACAGAAGGTAAGCAGTGCTGGACACCTCTCACAAAACTAATCCATCAAGATGTAGACATGCCTGTCTAGGCAGTTCAAGTTAACCTACCATATTTGATAAAGATGGCAATCCAGAACACGGATTACTTTGATTTAAACATCTGTTATTCCCCTTGACAATTTTACTCCCCTTTACTCACCCATTTTTATTCCCCTTAACTCAACTAGTTTTATACCCTTTATTCATCAATTTTTACTGCCCTTTACTCAGCCAGTTTTATTCCCCTTATTCAACAATTTTTTTTCCCATTCAACAAAAATTTGAAAAAACAATTGACTTGGTAGATGGACACAGGTCACTGGAAACCTATCTCTTACCCCCCCCCCCCCCCCTCCCCCTGTCATCCAGCCACTTACAGAGAAAATAAAACTGCTAACATTTTCAGAAGACTCATTTTTGCTACCCTAATATAAAAGGATTGCCTCAGGATTTCACAACCTCTGTTTATACATTTATATATTTCAGTTCCCTGGATAGCTCCCCTCACCTCTTCTCACCCCCCCTCCCAGAATAAACAAAAGTAGAGCCTCAGCTTGTTTCATCCAGACATTCCATCTTTGGTCACCTTATTTAATATTCATGCCACATTTTACCACACCACTGAACCCACAAAGGTCAGAGTTCAAGTAGCTTTGAATGGCTCTGTAATGTCTTCTTGTGTGCTGAGCCTTTCATGGGCAATTAAATGCAAATGGACATCAATAATGAGGTGACCCTTTCAATTATCGTTAATCTGTGTCAGTTCTTTTCAAGATGGCTGTGAATGTTTTTTTTCCTGCCTAGTTGTACAGCTAACGAAGTGCTTCATCTCCGCTATTACTCTAATCATTTGAAAGTTTAGAGCAGGCTATTGCCTTTGGCTCCGTCTGATAATTGAGGAAAAAACCTACTTGATGCTCGTTTAGCTAAGCTCTGCATCTCACGCTAGAATTAGATCAGAGCATGATGTTTGACTATATTATTTTTTTCTAAGTAAATGATAGCTATCATTTTTTAAAAGCTAAAAAGAATAATTTTAACTTATTATAGGAAAATATAATCTTCACAATGGGCTTCTGACAAAATCACTCATGTGTGAAATACCATTCATTTTAAACATTCAACTGTAAAACTTCATTGTAACCTTTTGTTTTAGGTAGGGGTTAAAAAAGGTATCAGTATTCAGATTACAATTTCACATTTTTCTTACAAAATGTGTTTAACCTAAGACCTTCATCAGCACTGGACTTTTAAGTAATTGACATAAAACAATTAATGGATGAAAGGTTATGAACCATCTTCACTTCTCCATGACTCTAAATATAAATTCTAAGTACAAATACCATATACATTTACCATAGTAAAAAAATGAATTCCCTTTTTACATATCCTGGCATTGTACAAACATACCACTGATGGCAATGCTACAGCTCTATAGCAGTAACTGAATCTTATCTGTGGACTAAAGTCTTCTGTACTATGCTGATCCCTGAATTATTGTATCTGTGGACTAGAGTCTTCTGTACTATGCTGATCCCTGAATTCTGTTATCTGTGGACTAAAGTCTTCTGTACTATGCTGATCCCTGAATTACGTTATCTGTGGACTAAAGTCTTCTGTACTATGCTGATCCCTGAATTATGTTATCTGTGGGCTAGAGTCTGCTGTACTATGCTGATACCTGAATTATGTTATCTGTGGGCTAGAGTCTACTGTGCTGTTACCTGAATTATGTTATCTGTGGGCTAGAGTCTACTGTGCTGTTACCTGAATTATGTTATCTGTGGGCTAGAGTCTACTGTGCTGTTACCTGAATTATGTTATCTGTGGGCTAGAGTCTACTGTGCTGTTACCTGAATTATGTTATCTGTGGGCTAGAGTCTACTGTGCTGTTCTCTATTGTGCTGTTCTCTCCTTGTCTTACAGGCCAGCTCTTCCATTGAGAGTGAGCACACCCAGGTTGTGAACAAGCTGAACCTGCAGGTTTTGGAGCTAGAGGAGAAGAGGAAAAGGGAAGAAGAGAGAAGGGAGGAACTCTCCAGGGAGGTTCAGAGGCTGAAGAAGGAAGCGGACGAGCGGCAGAAAATTTTGGAAGAAGCCGAACTTTTGCGAGCTGAGTTTGCTAGAATAAAAAAAGAGGCTGTCATTAGCGCAGGTAGGATGTGATTTTTTTTTTTAATAAGAGGTCAGGTAGGATGCAATTTTCTGAATACAAACAGATTTTAATAATTGGCATCCATGTAACTAAGAATAGTGGTGGCCAGTATCTCAGTTGATATCTCATGATTGGTATCATCCTGTATATATCTACTTTATTAAACATTGTGAAATCAGTGCCCTACATTGTTTGTACTACACAACACATTTTTTTATGATGCTTTTCTATTTCTATCCCAGTGTTCTGTAATGGCTGAAACATTTTGAAACTTAATCTTTTAACATTTCTCTTGGTTGATCTGTCTGTAGACACCTCATTAGAACCATCCCACCATCCTGCTGTATTTCACACACAGCTGATAAACAGAGGTAAATATCACATTCCATCCAATCTTACATCATGTCCTGGCTACTTAATGGTTAGCCATACCAACATATACATTATATATATATATATATATATATATATATATATATATATATATATATATATATATATATATATATATATATATATATATATATATATATATTGTTAGTGCATGTATAATAGCATTATTGTAAAAGTTTTATACATTATTTTGTTGAAACCTTATAGAAATATCTAAATGTGGATAAGCGAGAAAAAAAATCTGTATTTTTCTTCACTTTGAAAGGTGTTGGTAATAATAACACTGTTGCTGTCCCTATGGACAGTCTATCCTCTGTTTCACTCTGCTATCAATAATTCAAAGCTTAACTAGACCACTTCTCCACAAAGTACTTCCCTCTGCTAACACCAGTGCACTCATGTGAAGGAAGGAGAACAAAAGTAACAATCTGTAAACTCCTCTTATCTTTTGTATTGTCAGTGTTTTATTTCCCTACAGTGATCAATACTTGCCTGAGGTCTAGGATCTATCACTTTATTCACGTGGGACTTAAACTGTCATTTTCTAAATAAACTAGCAATTAAAATCTTTTTTAAATGTTGCTCCGAGCTATTTTTTTCTATATAAAAAATATTTTAGTCCTTTTTTTTTAGATTTTTATTTCAGTTTTCAAATAGACCACATTTTTAATTTACTTTTATGTATGATTGAGAGTTAAACATGGTTTTGCTGTATATTTCTTTTATCTTGTAAACTTCTATTCTATATAATCAACGTATACCCCAATTCTGCCCAGATTTCTGATATATTATATCTTATTGATTTTATGGCCATTCATTCCCCAATTTTTAATCACATGACCTGCATCCTGTCAATGCAAGACTAGTAGTTTTAGAAAATATTCCTTGATCATGTGACCTGTCTAGTTATATAAATCTCTGCAGCCTTGTGTTTTACCTACTACATCCAATCTAAAAAGGTCTAACTATCCCAGATTTTATAAAATACTATCTTAAAATAATATGCCCCTGATATTGGTTTTTTTTTTCAATAGAAGATTAGGAAGTCCTGCTGATCTCAAGTTATCACGACAACAAAATATATTTGTCTTTAGAACAGCAGTGAACTAGTTAAACATATAAACCTACTTTCTTGTTTCTCAATAGAACAATAGGGAACATGCTAAACTTATCTGAACCTACTTTCATTGACTCCTCAAGCAATTACTCACCCAGTTTCATTAGCCTGGTCTTTAATTCTTCACATTTCCCCTCATTAACCAGCCATTATCCCTAACCCTTGTATGACTTTTACCCACAAGTCCCTGCTCTCCCCCTCCCCCCCCCCCCTCAACATCAGCTGGTATGATTAACGTCCTGCCACTGCAGTGAGAAATAATTGAACCCGGCTAATAGCTGGATAACTACTCTAAATAATTTCTGTGGATTGTGTGGATTATGTTTAGGCATTTTAAGTCCACAATGATCACAGTGGGGTGATTGGTTTGGCTTGTTTACATGGATTGTTGAGAGTTGAAGTGGAACGATGATTCATTTATCACAGGGGAAAATTGAAAGATATTTTTACACCTATTGTTGTGTTGCAGGGAAGGGAGATAACCACGGAGAGGGGGGAGAAGTGGAGGAGGTGATGGATAGGAAAAGACAGGCAAGTAGTTTTTTTTGTTTATTAAAACTATTTCTCTCATCCATCTAATAACAATGATGCATACAAAACAATGTTTAGATTTAAAAGTTCCTTAAAACTATTTCATATGATAATCTATTCATTATTAAAAAAGGATATTTAGGAAAAAAGTCAAGGTAGTTTTATAGACTAAATATCTAGGCCAGGTAAAGTTGAGTTTACCAAGATGCATGTAGCTCAGATGTATTTTACTTCTCCAACATCAGGTATCTAATATGGCTGAGTTAACTCGCTAAGCCATGAACTAACCAGTGCTCAATTATTCTGTCAATGTGAGTGCCAACTGGGAAGTTAGCTTAACTTGCCAAGGACCCAATAGGGCTGAGTTAACTCACCTAGGAATGGCAAAACACGGAATAATTAGTGCTGCTCGATTATCTTAACATTTAGTGAATATATTGCACCTGTTCAAGTAGTATTTATGTAAGAAGTTGTTACTCTTATTGTATAACACTGTTTCCTTTGTTTTTTCTAGAATCAAAATGAACGACCAATGGCAGAGAGTTTCTTATCAGCATGGGCACAAAAGGGACCAATCCAGGTGTACATTGCTAAATATAACTACGACCCATTTGAGTTCTCGCCCAATGAGAATCCAGAAGCTGAGCTTCCTCTTACGGCAGGGGATTATGTCCTCGTGGTGGGAGAAATGGACGAGGTCAGTTTCATCGTGATTGTTTTAATTACTGTTAGTGTCCAACGTTTCAGTCTTTAGATGGACGAGAGCACTTGCATCTTGATTGTTTTGATTTTAATTGCTGACAGTGTTCAGCTTTCACTAGTTGGCTGTTTATGTGTTCTGTCTGGGTTTTTATATACCAGTAGTGAATAATGGGATCTTGTACAAACACTAGTGGTAGGGTGATAACTAATTTTACTTGAAAATGTCCACACTGAAGTTAACATAAACCCTAGTCCAAACGCTACCCCTAACTTCCTAAACCCATTATCTATTAGTATCAAGAAATTAACAGTAATGCATTTAGCTGAGTCCAGTATCTGAGAGTAACAAGTGCTCGTTTTTTTTACTATTAAAATATAAAGAAACTATGTTATGTACTTGGTAAAGTTTAAATCTGGTTTCTTTTTCTTCATTCTAGGATGGATTTTTTGATGGTGAATTAATAGATGGTAGACAGGGTCTAGTACCATCAAATTTTATAGAGAAAGTTGAAGGTGAGTTGGGTGGTATTCACAGTTTTCTGAGAGGAGTAGACCTTTTGGGATATCTGAAGCATTTACTTAACAAACATATTTCAACCTTTACCTACTAACACCTGTAAACACCTGCCGTTAACTCACCTGTTATGACCCTACATCACCTGTCTTGATATCAAGGTGTACAAAAACCTGTGCCATGTACAATTCTGTCCTCCCACAGACTTTTCACACCTGTAAACACTTGCTGTTAACTCACCTGTCATGATTCCATTTAACCTGTCTTGATGTCAAGGTGTACAAAAACATGTACAACTCTGTCCGCCAACAGACTTTTCACACCTGTAAACACCTGTTGATAACTCACCTGTCATTACCCCCAATGTCCCCTGTCTTGATATCAGCAGTGTGCCCTTGTCCTCCCACAGATGAAGACTTAGCAGAATTCCATGCTGCCTTAATGCAAGCTGGCCACCCAGACTACACGTCTGCCAGCACCACAGCTGCGATGGCGCCGCTCTCAACTGGCCCCATCATCAGCAACAACAAACTCAACAACAACAACAATGAGCTGGACTACCCAGTCACAAGACCAAAAACTGATTTACAAAGTTAGTTTTTCTTACTGTCACTTACTTAAATTTACAAAGTACGTTTTTTTTCTTTGAGTTTTTTTTTTTACTAGACCTACCTCATTATTTGTTCACTTGCTATGCTACTTTTAAAGCATTACATTTTTTGTAAAAAGGTACTTATTACATCACAGTGACTCATTTATTTTACCAAGTCAGCCTAACCAAAGTCACCTGACTGACTTTTTAATATGATACATCATTATTGACTTTGGAATAGTTTAATCATAAATGTAATCTGTAAAGCTCATTTCTTAAAAATAAAAACACCAGATCACAAAGTATTTAATATAGCATGTTTATTTAAACTTGATGACAAAAATCATTTAAAAAATCGTAGGACTTAATTAAATGTACATACGTGCTTAATGCAACATCAGAAAAAATGTAATGTAAATAGAGGAAATGTTTCTTTCATTAAGGAACCTGATGCTGGAGTTAAAAAAAATTTCTGGGATGGTAGTCTATTATTATTGATCATATAAAAAAAGTTCCAATAAAGTTAGCTTAGGTTTATGCAGGTTTCCCTGCAACTGTCAATCAATAGTTGACCCCATCACTATGGCAACCATAGACCAGTGATTGAATGAAATCTGCTGTTAAATAGGCAGTGCCAGAAAAAAAAGATGGTACAAAATGCATAGGTTGGGTTGAATAAAAACTGTAATATAAAGATAAATTGTGGCCTGATTTTAAAAAGATTTTCTCTCTTAATTTGCCACATGCTGGATCTATTTTTATAAAAAGTTTGGTTAGAATAACTACTAAAATCTGGCAACTCACCTTGCTTTAGCTTTAAGTTAAAATACTTTTTGCATTGGTAACAATATTCTCTGTATTCAATATTATTTTTTTTGTTATGTTTTTTTTTACAGTTACAATAGTTACAATAGTTATTAATTTGTGGGGAAATTTTTTTTTTAAATTAATGACCAGATTGACCAGATTTTTTTGCACTGCCAGATGGTGCTGGTAACCTTGAAGAATCAAACAGTGACCTGGAAGATATTGCTGAGATAGATGAGGAGACCGCCTCAGTGAACAGTCGTGTGTTGTTGAATGGTGGAGGATCCATAAACCACTGTAAGGGTTAGGATTAGGGTTAACATGTATAGTTTAATTATGGATCTATAAACCATTATAAGGGTTAGGATTAGGGTTAACATGTATAGTTTAATTATGGATCTATAAACCATTATAAGGGTTAGGATTAGGCTTAACATGTATGGTTTAATTATGGATCTATAAACCACAGTAAGGGTTAGGATTAGGCTTAGCATGTATGGTTTAATTATGGATCTATAAACCACAGTAAGGGTTAGGATTAGGCTTAACATGTATGGTTTAATTATGGATCTATAAGCCACTGTAAAGGTTAGGATTAGTGTTAACATGTATGGTTTAATTATGGATCTATAAACCACAGTAAGGGTTAGGATTAGGCTTAGCATGTATGGTTTAATTATGGATCTATAAACCACAGTAAGGGTTAGGATTAGGCTTAACATGTATGGTTTAATTATGGATCTATAAGCCACTGTAAAGGTTAGGATTAGTGTTAACATGTATGGTTTAATTATGGATCTACAAACCACTGTAAGGGTTAGCTTTAGGGTTAAGATTTGTTTTTACTCACGGATTTAATAAAGAAATGTAAGGGTTAGGGTTAAAATGTTTTACTTCGTTATGTATTTTTTAATCACTGTAATGGTTAGTGTTTGGGTTAGTATGCATTCTTTAATGGTGAATATAAACCATTCTGTTCTGGCTTTTACAGTGAATCAATGCTGTCTCAGTTTATTTCAAATAAAACCTTGCTACTAATATAGAAAAAGGAAAAATTATACCTCTAACATTGATTCCATGTATTGTAAACAATTGTATCACTAACTTAAGTGGAGATTCTTGAATATTTTCAGAATTAATTTGAAACAGGTTGCCAATCTAAATGAAAATAAATAAAAACAATTAGTATTTTACTGATCATTATTTTAAAGAAGTTCTGTATTGGAAACATAATTATGTTGAGCAGGTTGTAAAAGTTGGTTGTAACAATTCTAGCTCATGTTTTGAATGCTGAATGAATTGAACATTGTTTATTTCAGTACCTCCCAGCCCACGAGGCCTGTCGCTGGACAGACAACTGACCAACAGTCTGCTGATCAGCTGGAAGGATCCGGAACCTGCTACAGGGCTTGAGGTCCAGTCCTACCACATTTTTGTTGATGGGCACTTCAAAACTTCGGTCAAAAGTAACGAGAGGACCAAGGCATTGCTTGAAGGTGTCAATTCCAGTTCTGTGAGTACATTTATCTGGCCACCAGGTTTGGGCTATGATGGATAAATTTTGATAAAAAGTTAGATAAGCTTTGATGAAAAATTGGATGAGATTTGAAAAAATGTTGGATGGGATTTGATGAAAAGTTGGATAAGATTTAAATATTACCTCTATTTTAGCCACCTTATTGAACTAGCAGTCATATTTGACAAGTCTGTTTAGTTTATTATATTAATTGTTTTTACTTTTAGGAACTATCAAAAACTGTCATTGTGACACAGCTACAGTAAATTTCATTTGTCAGCTATATATTAATGTGTTGTGCTTATATTTTTAGCATAATAAACATACTCTGAATTACCCTAACTTAATGTAGGGCTTTCCATTATCATTGGTTTGTTTGTACTTTGAAGAAAATAGTGTAGACTGTGCTTGTGTGTAACATGTATTGTGATGATTTAGGTGCACTAAAAGATGTTTCTGTGCCCCACCAGGTCCATAGAGTCTGTGTCAGATGTTTGTCTAACAAAGGCCAGTCTAAAGATGCACAGTGCACCATGCTGGTGGGCAAAGGTCAGAAGTCAAATTTTTACTGATACAAATTAATCATAATTTTTTAAAAACAACAACAGCTAGGTTATTTTTTATGTTGTAATGACTAGATCATGACTGAATTTTGTTTTAAAAAATTACATTTTTTTTGAACAACTGAATTTAGAAAAAAATAGGAACATGAATGAATTAAAAAAAAATAGGAGAATTTTATTTAAATGACTTAAATTATGTTTGAAAGACTAGTTAAAACAAAATACTGAAAATGTTGTACCACTTGGTAGATTTATAATGACTAGATCATGAGTGAATTTTGTTTTGAAAAATTACAGTTTTTTGAATAAATGAATTTTAAAAAGAAATAGAAACATTTTATTTAAATGAGTTAAATTATGTTTGAAAGACTAGTTAAAACAAAATACTGAAAACGTTTTACCACTTGGTAGATTTGTAATGACTAGATCATGACTGAATTTTGTTTTAAAAAATAACATTTTTTTAAATAATGAATTTTTTTAAAAATTGGAAAATTTTATTTAAATTACTTAAATTATGTTTGAAAGACGAGTTAAAACAAAATACTGAAATTTTTTTTTACCACTTGGTAGATGTGTACCCGGTGCCATCAGAGTTAAAAGTTTGCCACGTGTCACCGACGTCAGCAGCCCTGTCATGGCTGCCTGGTGACAGCAACTTCCAACATTCCATCCTGGTCAATGGTAAAGAAGTGAGGGTAGTCAAGCCTGGTGTGTTTCGACATACTCTCACGGGTAAATTACTATAAAACAGGTTAATTACTTCACAGGTAAATTACTTTACAACAGGTTAATTGCTACATATTTAAATTACTTTACAACAGGCTAATTACTTCACAGGTAATTTACTTTAGTGGTCACTTATTTAAACAGGTAACTTAATTTAAAACAGGTTACTTGCTCTCATTTGTACATTACTTTAGCAGATCATTTGTTACTTAAGCATATAACTTACATTAGCATATAACTTAATTTATCAGGTAACTTACTTTAATAGGTACCTTTAGCAGGTATCTTAACCAGATAACTAATTATAGCATGGTATTTTCTCCGACTTAAATTGTCTAACATATTTAATTCATCCGGCCGGGAAAAAAAAATCAAAAGTTTATTACAATTTCCTTATTTATAATCACATTTAAAACCAAATTACAATGATCGTCTTGCCAGTTAAAGCTATGAGAATGTTCTGGAATGTTTGTTGTAGGTCTAACACCAGGAGCATTACACAAAGTGACCTTGATTGCCAAAAGTATTTCTGGCACCCTGATAGAGGAGAAGTCCCGCAAGTGGGTGGAGAATGTGTCGGCTAGCATAGAATTCCACACACCTGAAGCAGGTGAGAGACCTGGTCTATCTCATATTTTCTTCTCATTTTGTCTATATCCTATTCTTAAAACTATATTTTAGAATTACGTAACCTTTCATTTTAAAAAAATTTTAAGTTTATTTTTCATCTTATTTTAAAAGTAACGTTTTTCTTATTCTTTTTATATAATTTTTGTATTAATAATATTTTTCTTGGCATGAAATTTTTTTTAAAAATTGGAAATATTAAAATGCAGCAACATTCTTTTAAAAAATATGCGCTTTTTTAATTTAATTAAGTCAGAAAGAATTTAAGATGGCTAATTTTAGATAAAAATTAAATATTAAGAAGTTTATGAGTAGAATGAAAGTTATACAAGTGTGTAATATGTTATAGTTTATAATAACAATAAATATTGTGCATGAAAATATTTCCATGAATTTCTGTTTTTCTCTTGTAGGAGCCCCAGAACCCCCACTAAACGTGCAGATAGAATCAGGACCAAGGGAGGGAACTATTCTGGTCAGTTGGCTCCCAGTGACCATCAACTCCTCCGGTGTCTGCAATGGGGCTGTGGTGGCTGGCTACCACGTCATGGCTGACAACAGGAGGGCAAAGAATGTTCCAGGCCCTACTTGTAAGACATTTTTCTACACCATACAACTAGAACTCTTTTACCAATGAAATTATTAAAGTTTCTGTTTTATAAAAAGTAAAGATCTGAATCTACAAAACAAAAGATGGAAGTGCTTCTTAGAAGCAGTTGTTCTGTGTCTGTAACCTTAGATTTTAAATGAGAAATGTGGTTCAGCATCTGTTTCTCTCAGAGCTGGGTGCAAATCGATCTGGAATCAGAATTTTAGACTTTTGAGTTTGCAGCCTTACACTCTACCTCTCAACAACCCACTCTGTTATAACTAGGCAAATATTTTGTTTATTATGTGTTTCTGTATCCACCTTGAATTTTTCTAGTGTTAGGTTTATTTTCACCTGAACTTTCTCAGCGTAATGTTTATACCCATTATTTATTTTAATTCTCACCATAAACTTCTTTAGTGTAATGTTTATTTCCTCCATAAATTTCCCATTTTATCTCCATTATTTATTTATACTTCCATGTAAAATTTCTTAGTGTAATGTTTATGACCATTATTATTTCTAGTGTATTAATTTCCCAGTTTATTTCCATTATTTATTTATATTTTAAAGCTTTTTCTTTGTGTAATGTTTATTTCCATTGTCTTTATACTTCCATGTAAAATTTCTCACTTTAATCTTTGTGTCCTGTAGGTGACCATGTGGTACTGAGCTCTGAAGACTTCAAAGGTCTGTTCCCATCCCACATAGCTGTCAGGACAGTCTCTACGTCTGGCGTGGAGTCTGTCAATTCCGATGTGGTCGCCCTGCCTGGTCAGTTAATCAAAGAGTTAAAAGAAGGATCTGGCATTAAGGGTACAGAAAGAGCAAAAGTAAGTTTTATTTTACCTGTTGTATGCAAATATTTTGGTATCCTCTGCTCTCAGGTTTCAATATACTGAAATATACAAATATACAGCTATTTTGTTTAAATAAGATTTAATATTTGCAGTTTTTTCTAATGGAGTAACGTTGATCTTAAAAAATGCCAACTCTACATGTCCTGATTATCAAGTGTTTGTGGTTTGAGTCACTGAGTCCACCCTAATATTAAAGTAGAAAACATACTGGTGACTAATGTTCCCTCTAAGCTGTGCGGTTGAGCTGCCGCGCAGTGATTTTGTAAAATAAATATATCCTTGTATAAGACTTTTAGAACAGCGCTGGTGACATGTTGCAGATACCACATAAACAGATCAACTCTACTTCACTACTTCACCCAATAACAGATCATCAGGCTGAGATCTGTACTCTACTTAAAAATTTTTAATTAACATTATCTAAACTCAACAACTAACAGCTGGTCTTATTGATATTAAAGCTTTGTTTCATTAGTATCATTACCCAAGCCCAAACCCTAGCCCCAGCCCCAACCCTAACATGAGCCTGTAACAACTTCCTCCCCAGGTATCAAAATCCTCTAGTGATGACGGTAAAGGACACGACACAGATGAAGAAATTGAAGCGGCTTTCAGGGAGGCACAGAGTAACGTAAGTTACCCCAGTAGAAGGAAGGAATCCTTATCAATTAGTCAATTAAATTTCATGTTGATGTATTCAACTGGAGTAATTAGTGCTTCCATGTTTTGTCACAATGTATGGTAGAGCTAGCAGAAAGACTTTAATAACTTAAAATATCTTGTAGTTTTTTAAATAAAATGAAGCTGGACTACTTTCTTGATAAAATAATTTAAAAACCTTTTTTTTTGTCATGTCTGCTAGTTTCTGCCATACTGGTGGTATAGTTAGAGACAGACGTCCTTGAGACTTTATCAAAGGAAGTAATTTAGATTAGACTTGAAAACTATTCACTGGGACCAATTTAATTTAAATTTAAACTCCATGCAGATTAATAAAAAAAATTATAGTAGAAAGTCAATGAAAATATTTTGAGAAAGTTGATTGGGCTGAAGTCTTGATTTAACTACCACATGTTTTGTTGTTCAATGCTTTTTTGTGTTAGTATCAGTAAAATGGTGTAAGAACTGTTGTAAATTGTTACATTTATTAACCTCTTTAAAAATTATGTTGTAAAATTATTGTTTTAATGTGTTATGATCTAAAAGTTTCAATTAATAGATGTAAAATATTTAAATGTATTCTTTCAAAAGTTACTGAAAGTTTTTTTTTCCAAACAGTTTGTTTCTAATTTAATTTTTAAAATTTAATTTTTCAGCATCCAAATGCTAAAGTAATTCTTAAACTCTTACTCTCTGATAATTTAAGCTGGGTTGAAATAGTTTTTATGTAAATATCTTAAACAAAAGCTTATTACTCAAGCTAAAAAACTAGAGCTTCCTCTGTAATGGCTAAACATATGCTTATGTTTATTGTGAAAGGTGTTTAATGATTTCCTTGAATTTTTGACTATGAAATCAAGCAAAGAATACCCAATCTTTAAACCAATAATTACATCTATTTTAATGCTTTTCCTTATTATAATTAAAGTATCAAAGGTGTTAACATTTTAATGATAGATCTAATATTGCATTGGCATATATAATCCTATTATTATTTCGAAACATAATAGATTAATTTATTTTACTTACAAAACCTAATTTGTGAATTTTCAACATAGGTATTTACAGTACTAAAGTTGTATTTAATATTTAATTGACATTTTCTTTCCTGTTTTTGTAGTAAAGCTAGTAATGAAGTAGTGTCAGATATATACATTGTAGCTTTGGTAACACTTGGCTGTGTGTCTGTCCATTGTTGCCGCCAGTGGATCACCATAGTCTGGGTGTTCGTGTCACTTATTTTCATTTGCTAATTACATTTTATTTTAGTTGAATATTTTTTTTTTTGTTGACATCTTTTGGACTTGGATTTTGTCCATCCTGTACTGTAGAGCGATGGAGTAAACGCAATAATGGGGGAGTCCTTTTCCGATACAAGCAGCTCAGAGCTGTCGGATATACCCGAAGTTGAGGAAGATCTCATTGGCTCCCAGGACTCTCATCTTAACGAGGTCGGCGTGAGCCGGACCAATCAGACGCAGCATCTTAGTCAGGTGATGAGTTAAAGAAAATAAAAAAGAACCCACGGCTTAAATTTTGTAGCACTTTTGTATTTCACATTTCAACTTGTTTTTTAAGTTTTGGTTAGGGATGGGTTATCTTCTTGTTATTGCTTTCCCTTTTGTATTAGCCTATCCATGAAATTACTCATCAAATTATGGAGACGTTTTTTTTTTACTTGTTGGGTTGATCCAGCATGAAGCTTTATGTTACTTCCTCTCTCTTTTATACTGAACTGTCTGCTGGGTTCCCATTGGTTGAAATTGTTTACAGCCTGTCCACTGAAAACTTGGATTGGATTAAGTTCTACTTGACTGGGCAGAGACATTTTTTATTTGTGCAGGAAGAAAGGTCACCTCCCCAACTCATGCACTTTCTTCAGTTAAATATTTCCAACTCTATGTATCAAAGCTTATTTGCACTAAACTTTGTGCCATTTAATGACTGGGAAAAAGGTGCTTAAAATGTATGCTATAACCTAAGGCCTCATAACCCATTGTGTAACTCTAACTAGAGATATAATCCTCATAGCCCTGTATTCATCAATGTTATGTATACATGCAGCAGCATTTACATACAATGCAGATAATGTATAACATTTTTATGAAATAAGTGTTTACTATTATAAACCTTTTCTTGGACTATTCTTGTTTTTCTATTCAGTTCTGCTTGACATTTAGGTTTTATTTTTATTTTTGGGTAAACCCAATATTTGGTTGAGAAATGTAAGACATATTTTGACTGCATGGAAATATTTTTTTTTCACCACTGGCTGCGTAGTTTAGTGTTGTCTACCACTTCGTGTTGCATCCTCTCTGGTCGATGGTTTCTTCAATGTTTATTTTTTATATTCATATCTATCAAGCATGGGAAATGTTCTCTTGTTTTTACTTAACTAGGTATTTTGATGTTAAATAACCCAACTAGTCTACTTGCTAGCTTTTGGTGACGTTTGAATTTTTAAAATAAAATGACTGATTAGACATTCAACTGAACAACACTAATTTAGATGAATAGACTTTAAACCAGCAAGTCCTCTGCTGATTAATTCATATTTATTCACATTTTTTAGAGTTGAGAAATTTTATATTTTAAAACTATCTTTAAATCACCCACCTATTTATCGACGTTATAAATTAATGTGTCCAACTGTCTGTTGTGTGGTCAGACGGAGAAAAGGTCACCACAACCTGCCCCTAGAAAACTGGCCAATGCCGGTGCAGACACTGGACCTAAGGAGTTTCATGACCAGAAGCCTAAAGGAGATCTGTTGGCGGCCCCTGCCAGAGTTGTCCCTGCCATAGGTGAGTTGTCCTTCTTGCTGTCTTTATTGATGCTTACATCAAACTATCTGAAAACCCAAGGGACTGCTGATAGTTTTTATTTTTGGATATTTGTATTGAGTATTATAACAATCAGACCAAAATTATTGTTAATTAATATATATATAAAAAGTGAAGAAAATCTCAGAAATAAAATTTTAACCTAAGGCTTTATCAGTTTTATCAATTTATATCTTGACTTCTGTCTACACATTTCTTTTGTGTTTTAAATAACAGCCTTTCATATTATTATTTCGTTCATGGTTCTTTATTTTTCTAAACCAACAATTATGTTTACTGTGAGTAAATTTATAAAACTGATACAAAGAATGACATCATTGTTAAAAAAAATTTCTTTAAATGTTTGAAAATTGAAGTTTTTGTTAAATTAATTTTTCAAGAAATCACAAGAGACAGTAGTACAGAGAGAACTTCAGCCGATGAGGACCTAGAGGACGGGAATATTCCCTCAGCTGTGAACACGCCTACATCACCCCACGGGCGCTCTTCTGACCCCCCCATCTCATCCCACTACTGGGGGGACGTCCAGAAACCCAGCGCCTTCAGACAGGTTGACCAGACGCGACGTCATGACAGTGGCGACGCCGTCAGATTTGATGATGACCGCTCAAACTCTCCCGCCCACGTCCACCCTGCTGATCACCCTACCACGGTCAGAGCTAATGACCCCAGGTCATTCCCAGAGACCCAGAGTCCCAGTCAAAAACAAGGGGCGTTGTCCAGTTCTGCCCAGAATCCTAACCAAAGAAAACACATCCCCTCGGATTTGTCAGGGGCAGCGGACGAAGGGGGAGACAATGACTCTATATCAGGGGAGATCAACCCCGTGGTTGATGAAAACAGCGTGAGGTTATTTATAGCCTTGTTTGACTATGACCCGACAACCATGTCTCCCAATGTGGACTCCATTGATGAAGAGCTACCATTCAGGGAAGGACAAATACTCAAAGTTTTTGGTGACAAAGATGCTGATGGTTTTTACAAGGGAGAGAGTCACGGCAGGAGGGGTTACATCCCTTGCAACATGGTGTCAGAAGTTCAAATAGACGACCCTGACCTAGTGGAACAGCTGCTGAAGGAGACGACAGAACGTTTAGGTATTTACTTATTTATCACTGTACAATTTACTTTTGGCTTCTTCTTTTTAAAAAATCTGGCCAATCCCGCTTGTTCTCAGTTGTAGTCCACACAGCTTGTTAATGTTTAAACCACAGATGTTTGTACTGAATTTTCAGCCAACACTAATTTCAGGTGTATTATCAGCTTTGTGTGTTGCAGATTCTCTTTGTCTGCTTGTGAGCTTTTGTCAATCAACTTTTATATGTATTTTTAAAAATTTGCTTCTTTTTTATTCAACATTGTTAAATGTCAGGCACTTTATTTTAATTAAAAAAAAATGTTTTTTTGTGGAAGACAATCTCAGTGCTGTTCCTTTGTTTGAATACCCAACCCGGCTTGACCTCCATTGCTGTGCTAAATAAATTTCAGTGTCCAGTCAACCGTCGTTAGCCTCGGCCACGCGGGACCTGACCCCTAATGGTATGGCATCCATACCACGGGACGGACCCATGAGGAGGATGGTTGCCCTGTATGACTATGACCCCCAGGAGCTGTCCCCCAATGTTGATGCTGAGGTAGGTTGAACTCTCCATAGACTTTGACCCCCATGATAATACCCATGTAGCAAATAGTTGTACAACAAGCCAAATTTTACAAATTTAATTGTGAGAGTTTAATTAACTCATACTTGCACCCTCATTAGTATCATTAGAATACTAATTAATAGTTTAAAAGAGATAATCAGTTTATTATCCTTGCATCACAATTTTAGGAAAACCTCTACATTTTTTATAAGATATTAAATTTTTATTGTTTAAAAAAAAAGAAAGCCATTGAGTTAACCAAACATTAAATTAGAACCAACCATTAATTGGGAAAAAAAGTCTCATGGCACCATGATAAAAGAGTAATTTTGAAAACTCTAAACATTGAAGCAACTGGTGGTTTGATTGAGTTTTTCATTAGATAGAGAAAAAATGTTCTTAATTCGTAGGTGATGATATAAATGTATAACATAACCTGCCTTAAAAAATAGTTTATTATAGGTTGCATCCTTATAGGGGTCGGCGTGGTCGAGTCGGTAAAGCTCATGGTTGCTAAACCGAAAATTCTCGAGTTCGAACCCTCGGGCAGATGAGGCTCGTTAGCTGGGGACAGCCACTCTTCTAGGAGAGACAACTCCAAAATTAAACAACTACTGCCTTGTAGTTTGTTCTTGGTTGGACAAAGGCTATGGAAGCAAATCCAAAAAGAAAAGCAGGCTGAAATCGGAGTCAATGGCCTCAATGGCGCATAACCAGTTGACACGTAACGCTTAATTGTGTTGGAGGCGTGGTCGAGTCGGCAAAAAGCGCATGGTTGATAAATTCGAACAGTCTCGAGTTCAAACCCACTGGCAGATAAATCTCGATCCCCTTCAACACTAATAATTAAGAACGAAGAAGAAGAAGAAGAAAGAAGGTTACCAAATATTTTCTTTTCTTCTTCTTATGAAAGTGGCATTTAACTGACCACAATTCCTTTACTTTTCTTTAGCTTGAACTGTCCTTTAAGACTGGGGACATTGTCCTGATCTATGGTGAAATGGACGAAGACGGGTTTTTTACTGGTGAGGTCAATGGCCAACAGGGCCTGGTCCCGTCCAACTTTCTCCAGCCGGCTCCGCTGTCAGACGACGAGGGTCTGGAGAGTGTCAGTGTTGTGTCCACTGCAAGGTCAAGGTGAGGACACTTGTTTGTACTGTCTCAGGGGAGAGAAGTGATTTGAAGACTGGTCTCATGGGAGAGAAGTGATTTGAAGACTGGTGTCAAAAGCCAGAGTCAGGACTCCATTAAATTAAAATTTTGATTCTTAGAACTTACTCCCACTTGTAGTTGTTGCATAATTGCTTGACTCAAAACAAATTTGATTTTTTAAAATCACTTTTTAAAAAATATCTACATCAGTTTGTTTCTTTTTGTTGATAAAATGTGTTTTTAGTTCAAACATTTAGCCAGTAAATACACTTTTCAAATTCAGCAATAACAATTAGCATTTAATTTGATAGTTCATGTCTGTTTAGCCTAATTTTCTAATACATTTTAGTGTTGCAAGTCTTTGAACAATTTTAGAGTGTTCCTCCACTTAAAGAAAAATTAATTATCGCTTCTAATTAATTTATTCATAGAAACATTAATATGTTTTTAATAATAAAAACTAAGTAAATAATCTTAAAGGAAAACTCAGTTGATGCCACATTTGTGGACTGTTAATTTTAACACTGTTCACATTTAACTTAAATAAGTGCAGGAACATTTCAAATTTTCTATGTTCGACTTTTGAAAACAAATTTAATAACCATAATGTTCATTTTCTTTACACTAAAGATGACTGTCTGCACACACTTCTCTTCTTGTAGTAGAGTTTAATATTCTACAATAGTTTTTATATTTTTAGCTTGAAATTTGGCTACTAAAACTTAAGTTAATATTTTGTCATCTGATAAATATCTTGTGCGATAGATTGATAATAATCCTGAATGCTTAACGCTAATCCCATGAGAAGACAACTAAAGTCATTTGGCCAAGCAGGCAAATGATGTCAACTATATAATTTTTTAAAGTCATCAGCCTAACTGGCAGATAATGTCAATATACAATTAAAATTACCTGGCCTAACTGGCAAATGATATCATCTATTTATTTGGAGCTTGACATTGTACCAAAACTAGTTCCCCTTTTACCTTTCTCTTCCTCCCTTTGCTTGATGGAAACACAATCATTTATTTCTAGATTAACATTCCCGCACATCAAAATGTAAAGAAAGGCCACAAAACCAAAGTTCCATTTTTTACGATCTGCTTTCTAACATAGGTCTGGTGAAAGCTTAGATGCAGCAGTGAGTGCCCTAGGAAGAGCGGATGTGACTGCTAACGTATGTGACCATGGGCTTGAATGGTGTTGGTCTTTGTTTGCTCTCTGCTCCCACAGCTCTTTGTTCTCTCCCTTTATCATTGTTTGCTTTCACCATGCTTTTTATTTTACCCACAATGCCTTTTTTTGTTTGTTATTGCATTGGATTTCCTGCCACTGATATTATAATTTCATATATTATTTCACTGATTTTAACTTTTTTAAGATTTGGGTTTTAAAAAAAATAATAATTATAAATACTTAAATCTACTTTACCAAAGCAAATTTTGTAATTTGATATTTAAGGCATGCAACTTAAGTAGTATGGTTTATAAAAAGTATATCATTATATTAATTACATATTCATTGTAAACTTTAGCATGCAATTATATATAAACACCTCACCATAAAAATATCCACACATTGAAAGGTCACTCAGTCAATTGTTTGATGTCTTAGTTCTGAGGTTTACAAACGTTTTTCTAACAGTTACGTCCCTTAAATAAAGATTATAGTTATTTTTCCTGTTGTGTTATTATTATTAGCAGACATACAAACATACTATTTTAGTGTAAGTGTTATATTGTCTTAGTTAATAGACACACAGACAAAATATTGTTTCTGATAGGCCTCTAAACATGTTTAATTATTGTATTTTTTTCTATACTGGCCATAGACTTGCATGACTTGCATGACTTCATATAGTCTTCACCCTTCCTGTCCAAAATTGTGTTTTCTGCTCTATATTCATGGCTCCTACAAGATAATTGTTAATTATATTTTTAAAATTATTTAACACTAATTTCTGTTTGTGTATTTCTAAGGATTATTTTCTTAGAAGAAACGGTTGTAAAAATGTGCCTTGTTATGTGATAACTTGCCAAATTGGTCTGCTATTTTGTTCTATTTTATGATATCTCCAAAATTTCAAAAGTTTTAAGAATTTGTTTAAAACTTTCAGCTTTGTAGGCTATTTAAAGATATTTCAATATAATTTAGTTAGATGCGTTTTTATAAAATGTCATAAAATGTAATAGTTTTTACAATTGCATGCCATATGTTATTCATTTTTCTCTTTTTGCCTTACACTCATTTGGCCTTGTGTGTTTCTGTGCATTGCATGACAAATACTTTTCCATCATTTCAACTAGCAGCATTTGTTTGTTTTTAATTGTTAAACTTAAATTAGAAAATATTTGTGAATGAAACAGTTTCTCAATATTATTAGAAAGTTCTAGCAACTTTCTTTATTGTTGTGTGAGGGTGGTGGATGAGAGTGTGTAATGATGTGTGGAGATGAGTGATGATGGGGTTGAAATTGTGTGTCAAGATATTGATGGGGAGGGAAGATGTGAGATGATGATGGGTGAGACCGTGAGAGTGTGTGATGATGTAAGAAGATGAGTGATGATGGTGGGTGCCGAATATTTTAACAAACTAAAGTAAGATGTTTTTACTTAAGAGGTTTTGAAAGACATTTAGCTGAAACTAGTCATATGTGTATTAAGTTGAAAGTTCAACTCACCCACAGTATGTGCTTATGTTAAGTAGATAGATGCTTGCTGAGAATTAACTATTGTAATAGATGTATAACAATCAATAACCACCATTCATAATTGTGCTTTGATTACCATAATAACTGATATCTTCCCATGTCCTTACAGAGAGTAAATGAATCCGCCCCAACAAGATCAGAGTCCGCCAACTCCAACAGGCAGCCGCCAGGTGGCGCCACAGAGGGGGCCAAACCTGACGGCTCCCGTCCAGGGACTGCAAGCCCAGCAGAAGACGAGAAGCCAAAGAAGAAGGGAGGATTTCTGAACAAGAGCAAAAACATCTTCAAGAAGTTCACCAGATGAGAGCGGTCACTGCCCTCCCCTCTTACCTGACATTTGCTACTGACATTTCATGTTGGCTGTCATTTGGGATTGACATTTTCTGTGAAGGCTGTCATTTTGGAATGACTTTTCTGCTATAAATTTACCTCTGCCAGTTAAATTGTGAAATTACGCAGGTGAAAATGTTGATAAAAACAAGCTACCCTAAAAGCTCAATTTCCAGCACATTCCTTCATTGGTTAGTTTCACTTGACCAGATTTTTGTCTCTCTGAAGACCATTTTGTTTACTGTAAAAATACATATACAGTCCATTCTGTGTTGATCATATAGAAAAATCTGTGATTTAATTAATGTGGTATGGTTGTATATGTTTTGGGAAATTATGTGATTGTTCCTGGATGTCAAATGGGATATTAGTATTGACAGTAACTAATAGAACTCTAGTCAGAGAAATTATGGGATATGTTGACAAAGGCAGGGAAACTACTCTGAATTCTTATATGGCATCCTAAAATGGCTTTAGATTTGATATTAGCTACTTGATAGTTATGTTAGTAGATTATTTTTTTTCAACATTATATATTCAGATTTCACAAAAGCTTTTAAGAGGATTATTTGAATTAAAAAATCATTTAGATAAATTATTTTGCCAAACGGTTTGTCTAGAACAAGTAATAAATCAGGATAGTTTTAAAAGGAGCAAAATATTATCAGCTTATGATGAAAAAAAGGAGCAAAATATTACTTATAGTTGATCAATGTTAATTAAAGTTCTCTGATGAACTAATTAGTTTGATTAAATTGTGTTTGAAATAGCAACTTAATTGGTAAAAGCTAAATTAAATAATTTTGATTTTTTAAATCCATTTTTATATTCAAAGTTAATTTGGTTGTGTGAGTCTTGAGGTAAATGTGTCTTAATAATTGTTTTGTTTTTATCAGGTTCATTGTTTTTTTCAAATAGTCCCATAGGGAAATTTAACTTTCCCTTCACATCCAAGCTATATTTTATAAAGTAATTTGCTAAGATTGTAATATTTTAACCCAGCTTTAAGTTTACAAATGTCTTTTGATGTGTTGACTGCTACACCTTGTTTATACACATCTATGTTGATGTACATTGATTTTTGAAGGTGGTGATTTGTGACTGTTCTGTTGAACATCACCATGTTGATAATCTGGGAACAGCTGAACAGTTTTTGTCTTTATCAAAGGTTCTCAAAGTTTCTGCTGACATCACATTTTTTGTCTGTTTTAAAGCCAAAACACATTTTATTTTCAAATAACATGTTTATTAATTTGATTCCTTTATCACTTAAACATAATTTCTTATAGCTTTTTATCCTAATTTAGAAGTTACCGAGGATTCGATAGAAGAAATATATTGGAATAGATGCATGAAAAATAAGTTAGAGAGGACAGGAGGTTTGATATAAAAATTTTCTTGTTTAAATAAAATACAGTGAGATTTGAGGGCTAGGCTAGCCCTGTTGTTTAATAAGTACATTGAGATCTTACCTGTGGTGATTGTTCATAGATGGTTGGGAAGTTTTGTGAATAGTTTTTTGGATTGTGTGAATATTCAGTGGTTTGCATTGTTAAGGCGTGGTTTTTGCTCATGTTTTGTTTTTTATATTTTGAAGTTAACCATATTAACGATAGAATGTACATATTTGAGATTAAAATAATTTAAGGGTTCTTCTCTTTAGCACGTCATATTGCTAAAAATAAATTAACGAAATACTGTATGATTAAAGTTCAAATGTAGCCAGTGTTTTATTTACCAGGAGAAGGGAGATAATATTTGAAATAGAAAAATCCTGCCTTCATAATTATACATTGTATCAGTATGCTAATTTGTATAGGTTTGATGGTGTATAGAATTCTACAGGTTGGTGCTGTCCACAGTTCTGCAGATATTGTCTTCAATATTGGTATTAAAACCTATAATCACTATCATCATCATTGTTACCATCTTTATTCCTACCATTATCACCCATCTTTTCTATCCATCACTGCCTACATCTAGGCCCTGATGGTGTTGGTCCTGTGTGTCTAGATCAGCTTTTGTTTGGTTGGTCAAAAATTTCATTGTGACAACCTACAGTAGACATGGTCAAGATTTGTGTCTTGTGTCTTGACGCAATCTGTCTCCAGACACAATCAAGACTGGATTGTTGTCTCCAAGCATGATTGTTATGTAGTTGATAATATTTATCAAAGATTTGCTCGGAAAATATTTTTAAGTCTAATACCGAATTTAGATTGTTGCACATATATTGTTAGGCAAGAATTATTGTTGGAAAGTTGTAAAAATTTTTATTTTATCACAGCTAACGTTAGGTGTTTTAGCTGTTTATAGATAGAAGTTAACAGCTTGATGGTATTGTTAGCATTAGCGTGCGATGTTGTCACCCAGCCAATGGTAACCTAGAATTGACTGTGATACCATCACACAATCCCTGTGTTAGCATGTGGCTTCTGTTTGCAGTGCTGTCTCAGCTTGAGATCCTCATCTTTTTGTTCCATGGTTTGTTCATCTTTGTGCTCATACAATGTACATGCCATTACTCAGTGTTACGTTCTTTCAAGCTCTTCAGCCCAGTTTTCTCATATATTAAATTAATATATACATATTACATATATATTTAAATATATGTACAAGCATAAAATGTTAAATTTAATATGTAATAAAATCAAAATATTCTGAAAATAATTTGATGCCTTTTTATTATCTTTTAAAAAATGGAATGTTTTGGTGTGAGTGATTTCCCCTTCCAGTCTTACAAACAAATAAGAAGGGCTAGAGTTTAAATCTAAATTGAGTTCATATCTGCCTGATGTATAGATCTAGACCTACCCTTTCTAATGGGTACATGGTTATAATAAAGTTCAGTAAGGATAACTTATTCTTATTGATATTGGACCATAATCTTACTGGACCATAATTTTGCTGTCTATAAACACTCTGGGATGCACAATAATATTTAAATTACAATATAAACATGCACTTTTTATCAGTTGATAATTAACTTTATTTTACTGATACAATGAGACATTCTTCAAACATAATACTGCAATTATCAGTCATACATCATAAACACATTTTTAAATAAAACATCACAGCCTGTTATTAAGTTTTTGTAAATTTTAAGTGCCTGTAAAATGTTTCAGTGCCACACCACCAAGGTGCTTGATGGGAGAACAAATGTTTTAATGTTTTATTAGCACTGGAGGGTTGGGAAAACTTGTCAGTTGATTTTTATCTAACACCTGGTCAAATTCAAAACAATAAATTAAACAAGCATTTGTATTTTTTTTCTCTTTTTAACCAGTGCAATTTGTCAAATAGATATTCAGTTCATGAATAACATGAAACATTGTCTATTAAAAAAATAAATAATTTAAACATAGCTGGGGACATTTCCCATAAATCAGCAGTTATCTATATAATCAACAGCAGGGGACATAGCCTTTTATAACAGCAGTTCTCCATATAAACCACAACAGGCCTCAGTTCGCGTTGACTCTTGACTCAGTTTTGCTGGGCGCCTGGTGCCCCGCGTCCCTCAGCTTGAGAGTGTAGTCAATGATGGAGTGGATACAGAACACCCAGTTGTACATCAGCATGGCTGGGATAGACCCGTACTTGCCAATCTCTCCGTGGGGCAAGGCTGAAATATGGGGAACAACTCATGAGGCCATGATGAAATATGGGGAACAACTCATGAGGCAAGGATGAATTATGGGAAACAACTCATGAGGCAAATATGAAATATGGGGAACAACTCATGAGGCTAAGATGAATTATGGGGAACAACTCATGAGGCTAAGGGGAACAAATCACGAGGCTAAGATGAATTATGGGAAACAACTCATGAGGCTAAGATGAAATATGGGAAACACTTCATGCTGCTAGATACAGAAAATATGCAACTGACCAGAAGAAACAAATGTATAACAAGCCAGATATAACAATTATGCATTGTAACTGCATGGAAGCAGTATATTCATGCCTGACACAAGTCCTATGTTAATATATTGATAGAACAACCAATGAAATGTAAACAAAACTTAAAAGCATTATAACAACAATAAATGAAACAACGAAACATTTTATAAAAAAAAGTGCATAAAAATAAACTCAAACTTGTTAAGGTACACTTACAAAAGCATGCTAGAATGATTTTAAAAGAGAAGAAAAATTTATTTTAAAATATTATCTTTGATTAATATGTTGTGTTTTGAAGTTTTGTTTTTAAACTTAGCTTTTATTTTAATTATTCATTGTATCATCTCTACCACTAAGTTGTTAAGCAAACACTAGAAAACTAGAACTAAAAAGCTTAAGAGAGTGCTAGAAGGTTTGTGATAAAGATTTTTTATTTTTTTTACTTAATTACCATACAGTATGAGCAGTTATGGCAGTTAAAAATTGTAATGCCTCACCTTTTAAATATCTGGAAATTTTGTCTATTTTTGTGGCTTCAGAAACTTTTGTGGGGTCGTAGGTTTTTATCTGGTGTACCAGGGTGGTGTTGATGCACTGTTAGAAGGAAGTGACAGTAAAATGTAGAATATCACAGGTAGCATTGATGAATAGCAATTAATAGCTTTGCAAGGAAACCTTTCTTTTTGTGAGCATGTAAGTATGTATAATATATGTATAATATATGTATATATATATATATATATATATATATATATATATATATATATATATATATATATATATATATATATATATATATATATATATATATATATATATATATCCGTATGCCTAGTCAGGCATTATTTGGGTTCACAGTGTTTACTACCACACTTCCAGTATAAGCACTAAGAACTAGGAAATTGACAGTGTGAGGTTCCAGCAACCAGCTAACAAAAATTGAACTGAATTACTTTAAGACAAATTTCATTTTCTGACCACCTTGTGTTTCTTACATTTTTCATGGTGTGCCAATCATCGTACTGGCCTTCTCCCGTCTTCTCGACATCAAACACGGCCAGCGTGGCCCGTATGATGTCTGTGATGACACGGGGTGGGGTGATGTAGCTCCTCAACTCTGCGAAGGACATGGGGTCCAACTTGGCCACATTTTCTCTCAGCTCTGCCAGCATCAGGCTGTCAAAGAGGATGTTGATTCTGGAAGCTTCGTCTTCTTTTTCTATATCTGTCAACAACAAAACATTCAAGTTAAAAGAGGATGTTAATTCTGGAAGCTTTGTCTTCTTTTTCTATATCTGTCAACAACAAAACATTCAAGTTAAAAGAGGATGTTAATTCTGGAAGCTTCGTCTTCTTTTTCTATATCTGTCAACAACAAAACATTCAAGTTAAAAGATGATGTTAATTCTGGAAGCTTTGTCTTCTTTTTCTATATCTGTCAACAACAAAACATATACACATATTTATTCACATATTGATCCACTATTTCACAAATCCCTTAACATATTGAAAGACATAAGAAACAATATGTCATCCACCACCAAAGTATTTCTTTAAGCACTAAATAAACCCACCCACCTAAAATCTTCTTTCTGTCTTCCCCTTTCCCCTCCTTCAAGATTTCTTTCAAAGACTTCTGCAGTAGTCTCAGCATCCTCTGAATCTCCTTGTTCTCGTGAGGGGGGAGTTTTTTCATCTCCCCTATATTGATGTCAATAATCCCCAGGGCCAGACCCTCCAGGTTCCTTAGGGGTAGGGCTGTGTGTCTCTCCCCATAAATGTCTGCCACAATGGTCTCGGAGTTCTCCATGCACTGGAAGAGGTAACTCCTATTATAGAAAAAAAAATAGAAAAAAATAAGAAATAAAAAGGTAACTCCTACAAAAATAGAAAAAAAATAGAAAAAAAAAAAAGAAATAAAAAGGAAACTCCTATTGAAATAGAAAAAAAAATAAGGCAACTCCTATTAAAATAGAAAAAAATAAGTAATAAAAAGGTAGCACCTATAAAACATAAAGAGAATGAAAGAAATCAAAACAAAAAATATTACACCTACAAAGAAGCAAAACACTGTTGTATAAATTAAATTATGAACTTTAAAATAAGATATTTTCATTTAAACAATACTGCAATACTACTATTTCTGAAATAGATTATGCCCCTCTCAAATGTTACCTTAAAAAGTTATGCCCCCTGTTGAATGTTTTTGATCAAGTTATGCCCCCTGTCCAATGTTTTTGAACAAGTTATGCCCCTTTCAAATGTTACCTGAACAAGTTATGTCCCCTGTCAAATGTTTTTGAACACGTTATGCCCCCTCTCAAATGTTACCTGATTAAATTATGCCCCTTTTCAAATGTTACCTGAACAAGTTAAGCCCCTTTCAAATGTTTTTGAATATGTTATGCCCCTTTCAAATGTTACCTGAACAAGTTATCCTTCCTCTCCAGCCTGTGAGTCTCAGTCAGCTGTGAGACGTTTCCTTTTTTGTCAATGACCAGCAGTTTCCTGAGGACTGGGTCCCCTTCAGGCTTCATGTTTGGCTCCACCAGGTACACGTCGATCTCACTGATGTACTTGCACCTGCGGGCTATCCAGGCGCTGGCACACTCAAAAACTCTGACCAGCTTCCTGCGCAACTCTACAGCATGGAAGGCAATGCTGAATGCCTTGGCCACACCCTGTGTTAGAAAAAGACAGGAATTTATTTTTTCTTTTACTTTTACCTGTAAATAAATTATCACTTGAACATTCTCATTTATGGTCTACTGTAAGGAAAATGTCACTGAACTTTAAAAAAAAAACAACACTTAAACCTTCTTATTTAGTTTCTATTTACAAAAAAATCATTATTTTTCACGTTTAACTAAAATTAATTTTTCCCTTTTTAGTACTTTTTACCTTTTTATTTAAAAACTACTCATTACTGATATACATTAATCATTATTGCCCTACAGTCTAAGATTAATTTTAGTTAATCATTTATTTATTGAAGAAAAAATAAGCTTTAAAGAAGACAAATTACTGAGTAACTTCTGTTGAATAAATTAATGCTAAATTTTTTTCCCACACGAGTTCTTATTCATAGAAAATGAAAGTATGTCCATTTTTCTACCAAATTATCAATTGGATTAGTATTAGAATGAAGACTTCAATTTTGGTTAATTTTTTAAGTAATGTCTGATTGAACACTGGGAGCATTGTTACGGTCTAAAAGAGTTTACATGTATTTTCATTTCAACCAGATATATTTCATCAGTGTGCAGGAAAATTACTTAATTAAATGAAGCTGTGACCCTCAAAGATGGGTTGAAAGGTTTTTTTTTCTGAAAGTATTTGTAACACTGATCTTGCAAATATTAAAACTGCTTAAGCAAGTGACACATGGTCCTTGGGTATTGTATTGTATTGATAGTTTCAATGTTTACTATCCTAAATGTAGCTCTGAGAAATTTTTAATGACATCTTTATATCATGCATAGTAGTTGGGTAATTTTAGGACAACTAAATTCTTTTAATTTTAACTTACTAAGAAATCCACCACAAATGTCAGCACATATTTATAATAATTAAACAGAAACTTATACAACACCAAAATTAATATTCCATATCCTATGTTCATATTTTGGCTTATCTCAAAATATTTCAAGGTGAATTATCCATTAGATCATGGAAGACTACAAAATAAATGAAGTTAGATTAATTTGATTATATTTAAATTTTTCACAAAATCAACATGGACCAACCTGGAAGAACTGAATCTCATGTGTGATAAAAATAGATTTTTTATTTGGGTCACAGATGGTGTCTATGCCCAGGATCCCAAAAACTCTCTTCTTACTGTCTTTGATGGGGACAGCCACAAAAGAACCCTCTCGTTCCTACAACGTTTTGTTCAAAGAAATACAAAATATGTCAGACAATTTCTACTGGTTAATTCGTTGGTTAGAATATTTTGTAATTCATTAGTTTTAGAATATTTCAAATGGTCATTCCATTAACAGGAAATGACCTTTCAAATTGTTGGCCTGTTTTTGTAGTACTAGATCAAAAAATTTGTTTATAGCAGCTATTGCCTCTATTACTTTGAATTGATAAGACAAAAAGTTAAATCCTTCAAGTATAAATAACAACAGACACTTTTCTATTTAAAGGTATGGTAATTTTAACGTAGCTTCAGAAAATATATATTTTTATGGTAAAATATTATAAATGAAAGGTTACATTTAAAGCAGCAAAATTTTTTAAAATGTGTATATATCAGGTAGAACAAGACTGTAAGACTGTTTAAATTGGATTTGTTCGTTTTAAAAAAACAATTCTCCCATCGACCACTGACATCTGCTATAGTTCAAGTATGTTAAAACAATTCTCCTATAGACCACTGACCTCTTGAGTTCTGTTATAGTTCAATTTTTTAAAACAATTCTCCTAAAGACCACTGACCTCTTGTGTTCTGTTATAGTTCCAGAAGTAGATGGACCCATGGTTGGACACCCTTGGTACATGCACTGGCTTGCCTGACTCAACAGCTTGGAAACTGGGGCAGATATTTTATGACATGAATTTTTTGGGGCAGATATATTATGGCATGAGTTTTTTGGGGCAGATATTTTATGGCATGAGTTTTTTGGGGCAGATATTTTATGGCATGAGTTTTTTGGGGCAGATATTTTATGGCATGAGTTTTTTGGGGCAGATATTTTATGGCATGAGTTTTTTGGGGCAGATATTTTATGACATGAATTTTTTGGGGCAGATATATTATGGCATGAGTTTTTTGGGGCAGATATTTTATGGCATGAGTTTTTTGGGGCAGATATTTTATGGCATGAGCTTTTTGGGGCAGATATTTTATGGCATGAGTTTTTTGGGGCAGATATTTTATGGCATGAGTTTTTTGGGGCAGATATTTTATGGCATGAGTTTTTTGGGGCAGATATTTTATGGCATGAATTTTTTGGGGCAGATATTTTATGGCATGAATTTTTTGGGGCAGATATTTTATGGCATGAATTTTTTGGGGCAGATATTTTATGGCATAAATTTTTTCGGGGCAGATATTTTATGGCATGAATTTTTTGGGGCAGATATTTTGTGGCATGAATTTTTTGGGGCAGGTATTTTATAGCATGAATTTTTTGGGTAGATATTTTATACCATGAATGTTTGGGGCAGATGTTTTTTGGCATGAATATTTAAGGTTTAAGGGCAGACATTTCATTGCAATTTTAGGGGCAGATATTTTATGATTTGAAATTCTATTTCTCACATAAACTACTTCAAGCTTTTCATAACATTTATATATTTAAAATTTACTCCAAACACAAAAACAATTGTATAAGTGTGACTGGTGTTTCAACATAAAATATTTCTTCAAACACAAAAATAATTGTATAAGTGTGTTTGGTTTCAACATAAAAGATTTCTTCAAACACAAAAACAATTGTATACGTGTGACTGGTGTTTCAACATAAAATATTTCTTCAAACATAAAAACAATTGTATATGTGTGACTGGTGTTTCAACATAAAATATTTCTTCAAACACAAAAACAATTGTATACGTGTGACTGGTGTTTCAACATGAAAGATTTCTTCAAACACAAAAACAATTGTATACGTGTGACTGGTGTTTCAACATAAAATATTTCTTCAATCATAAAAACAATTGATTAAGTGTGTTTGGTTTCAACATAAAAGATTTCTTCAAACACAAAAACAATTATACAGGTGTGACTGAAGTTTCCACCTACCTGACCCCCTTCATGTTCTTAAACAAAGCCTTGCCCAGCATGTATGGACAGTCCTCAGGTGTGCATGCTGCATACCTGAGCAACATTTTACCCCGGGAGGCATCAAGCTTGTTGGCCTCTAGCATTGAAATGTTGGCGCTGATTCTTTTTTCTCCGCCATGCGTTTCAGCATCCTTCACCACAAACAAAGGGAAACAAATTAGCCTGGGAGTCTATGAGTTTCAGCATCCTTCACCACAAACAAAGGGAAACAAATTAGCCTGGGAGTCTATGAGTTTCAGCATCCTTCACCAAAGGGAAACAAATTAGCCTGGGAGTCTATGAGTTTCAGCATCCTTCACCACAAACAAAGGGAAACAAATTAGTCTGGGAGTCTATGAGTTTCAGCATCCTTCACCACAAACAAAGGGAAACAAATTAGTCTGGGAGTCTATGAGTTTCAGCATCCTTCACCACAAACAAAGACAAACAAATTAGCCTGGGAGTCTATGAGTTTCAGCATCCTTCACCAAAGGGAAACAAATTAGCCTGGGAGTCTATGAGTTTCAGCATCCTTCACCACAAACAAAGGGAAACAAATTAGCCTGGGAGTCTATGAGTTTCAGCATCCTTCACCACAAACAAAGGGAAACAAATTAGCCTGGGAGTCTATGAGTTTCAGCATCCTTCACCAAAGGGAAACAAATTAGCCTGGGAGTCTATGAGTTTCAGCATCCTTCACCAAAGGGAAACAAATTAGACTGGGAGTCTATGAGTTTCAGCATCCTTCACCACAAACAAAGGGAAACAAATTAGCCTGGGAGTCTATGAGTTTCAGCATCCTTCACCAAAGGGAAACAAATTAGCCTGGGAGTCTATGAGTTTCAGCATCCTTCACCACAAACAAAGGGAAACAAATTAGCCTGGGAGTCTATGAGTTTCAGCATCCTTCACCACAAACAAAGGGAAACAAATTAGCCTGGGAGTCTATGAGTTTCAGCATCCTTCACCACAAAAAAATGGAAACAAATTAGACTGGGAGTCTTTAACTCATAGATATGGCCAGCTTTTATTTGTTTTGAGCTTGACACATTAGCCTACTCTTATAGTCATTTCTAGGCTGTTTTTAAGTTAAAATATTACTAGTCTCTTTATCTAAGCAGAAGAAATAGTCAACAGTATGACTTGATTAGAAAAGCAGATGGGCATAGAGCTGATGACAATATTTCTTTATTTGCTGAGGTGAAAAAATATAGGAACTCTACTCCATTGCCCAATGGATCACTAGGTCTTAAGTGAAAAAAATGACTTATGACTTGACTAGCTTTGTTTAACAACTAATTTATGACCGAGGTTTTTTTCAGGCACTTTTCTCTGGAAATGGGGGGGGGGGGGGGGTGTGTGGAAGGGGGGGGGGGGGGAATGGGTGTGCAGGGAACTGCCTGTAAGAAACTAACAACCTGTAAGAAACTAACAACCTTATATAGAGCTTGAAAGACGGCTTTGTAGACTGGGTCAAGTTGAGTACCGCAGTAGTGGGATGATGCAACAATCTGTTTCAACCATTTCTTTCTTGCTTCACCTCTGATGCGCTCAGCATAAGACCTCTACAGCGTTAAATATAAATTGGTAGGTGACATTATACAATTTTTGAAACATTTATTTTACATCTATTATATAGGCCCTATAGAATGTTCTATATTTTCTATAGTGCAGTGAAAGAATGTATTTGTAAAGTGTGACTGACACAGTGAAAGAATGTATTTGTAAAAGTGTGACTGACACAGTGAAAGAATGTATTTGTAAAAGTGTGACTGACACAGTGAAAGAATGTACTTGTAAAAGTGTGACTGACACAGTGAAAGAATGTATTTGTAAAAGTGTGACTGACACAGTGAAAGAATGTATTTGTAAAAGTGTGACTGACACAGTAAAAGAATGTATTTGTAAAAGTGTGACTGACACAGTGAAAGAATGTATTTGTAAAAGTGTGACTGACACAGTGAAAGAATGTATTTGTAAAAGTGTGACTGACACAGTGAAAGAATGTATTTGTAAAGTGTGACTGACACAGTGAAAGAATGTATTTGTAAAGTGTGACTGACACAGTGAAAGAATGTATTTGTAAAAGTGTGACTGACACAGTGAAAGAATGTATTTGTAAAAGTGTGACTGACACAGTGAAAGAATGTATTTGTAAAGTGTGACTGACACAGTGAAAGAATGTATTTGTAAAGTGTGACTGACACAGTGAAAGAATGTATTTGTAAAAGTGTGACTGACACAGTGAAAGAATGTATTTGTAAAAGTGTGACTGACACAGTGAAAGAATGTATTTGTAAAAGTGTGACTGACACAGTGAAAGAATGTATTTGTAAAAGTGTGACTGACTTAAGGACTGACCTCAACTGAGTTGAGCAGAAATTCAACCAACTGCTCAAAGTTTTCTGCCCCAGGCATCTCCTTGACAGCCAGCTCAATCAGGTCACGGAACTCACTCTTGCTCAGTCTTTGGTCTTGGTATTTGTATTTTTTTCTCAGCTGAGCTTGGGCTGAATAGGTTGTTCAAATATTAAAATTTTTTATTTTCTAATGTTAAAAAAAAAAAAAAAACTTTTTAAATTTAATATAATAATGTTTTGTATTAATTAAAAGTCACAACCAAGTTAATAGATTAACTATAAATCAATTTAATAAATGAGTTCTACCTTTTTTAATGCCGTCAAGCTCCTGCCCATCTTTATACTAAACTGTTTAGCCCTACCTTTTTTGATGCCGTCAAGTTCCTGCCCATCTTTATACTAAACTGTTTAGCCCTACCTTTTTTAATGCCATCAAGCTCCTGCCCATCTTTATACTAAACATTTTAGCCCTACCTTTTTTAATGCCGTCAAGCTCCTGCCCATCTTTATACTTGAACAAAACCTCCTGAACCTCCTCCATCTCCAGGAATCCGCTACCGTCGTTGTCCCACTTTTCAAACAAGTTGTCAATGGTCAACTTTCTCTTGGCTGAGATCATTTCCCTTCGACCCTAGACAAGTCAAACCCAACTTTTACAGCTTATCACTCTGCCTTTATATCTATACACTTCCAATTCTTAAAATGTATAAAACCAAAACACTACTTTCAAATAAACATCAATCAACCGAGCGATAAACAAAACAATATACACTACTAAAGCATATGTTACAGACTTATCGACCCACCAGCATCATTCTCTCCATCTTCTCCTCCTCCGTGTCAACGTAACAGTCTCTTATTTTTTTCACTATTTTTTCAAACGTATCTCTACTCGGCTCGTTGCCCAAATATGTTTCAATGAGGTGGACAAACTGAGACATGTTGAGAAAATTCTCGTTGAAGGCCGACAGCTGTGATTGGCTGCGCTGGTTGGTAGTAACACCTGAAGATCAATTTATTGATTAATTTATCATTATATACATTTTATTACTTTACTGATTAATTAATCTTTTTCTAAATTTTATCAATTTATTTTTTGCTAAATAATTGTAACCATATTTTTCAAGTAAGCCTACATGCACCATCATATTAATTTTTCTCAAACTAGAAGTCAATATTAAGAAGACTTTAACATAATGTTTAATCCTTATTATAATATTTAATGTATGATGGTATTAATGTTATAAAACCTTAAAAAAATATCTTTAATAGACAATTAATAAAGCAATTATGAAAAAATTAAAAAATTTAAATCATAAAGCTAAAATTTGAGGAACAAACTTAAATAACATGAAACTGTGCAATTTCAGGAAATGAGACAAAACCAACATTTCTGAACATAAAAATACAGAACATGTAAGCAAACTTTTCTAAAAAAAAGTCCCAAAAATAAAAATTGTCAACAGAATTTTGTTTTTCTCACTTACTGATGTCCCTCACCCTTTGGCAGCTATTTATATTGACATCTACCAGCTGTTTATTAAAGTTTATGTTTTTATCTTTGTACAGGAAGTTCAGGAAATCTCCAGTGGGTAAAGATAATTTGGTGAGAAGATCTGTTTGTTTTATTTAATTAGAGGTTTAAATGGTTTTTTCACTGAACAGTAAAATTAATTTACAAATGCTATATATTGTGATCCTTAGATTTTTATAATTTGTTAACAAGAACTTTTGAAAGATGGTTTCGATATCATTCATATGAATGCAGGGCTGGGTTATACTTTCTGAGATAAAATTAAAAAGCAGGGATACTTAAAATCAACTATAATTCACAAATAGTGTATTGATGACAGTTGTTAGATGGTTTTTTGTTGGAAAAGAATAATCACTTCAATATGTCCCTGGTGGACATACATACATACATATACACACATACAAATGAATACTGTGTGTGTGTATTGACATACATGTCAATGTGTATGTGTAATTAAATACAAACTACGTAATAGTCTATAAGAAAACTAAACTAGCCTCTTCTGTCAATATCACTGGTAGAATTGATAGACAGTTTTGATTTCTCAGACTTAGAGGCTTCATTAAAGGAGTTGAAGTCTTCCAGCTTTCTACTTCCTTCAGCATGAGTTTCTGCTGCAAGAATAAAATTATGTTTTAAAATATTGTGTGAACGTGTTAGCTTATTTTAAAGATCTTATATGTTTGTAAAAAAATCTTTTTTAATTTTAGTTTCCTTTTTGCAGATATAATTTTTTAAGTAAAATGCAATAACTGTTCCATTTTTTTAGCCATAATAATGTGTTCTTAATCTTTTTTTACTAAATTTGTGCAGATTAATAATGTTATAAAAAAATGCCAAAATAAACACAGTAAAATAAACAAAACAATGAATTTTAAAAGAATTAAAATTATTTTTTCTCACCTTATTTAAATTAATCTAATGTATAAACGTTTGTAAGTTAATTAAAAAACGTTTATAATTTTTATTTACTACTTTTTAAATGTGTACAATAAGATAAATAGTTTAATTTTCTTAGCATAAATGTGGTGTTAAATGTCAAATTTAGAATACCACTTTGCAAGTATATTGTTTAGGCCTAAATAAAAATATATTAATCAATTTTACAATATTTTTCAATAAATGATTCCTATTAAAAAAAAAAGTTTTATTACAAAACCTGTTTTGTTTCATCCTCTTACCAGGTTCAATATTTTCATTTTGTTCTTCACCTTGTTTTACACCAACTTCTTCCTGGTCACTCACAGCAGTGGCGGCCATTTTGTCCACATCATCCCCAGTGGCCAGGACATCTCCATCAAACTGTGTTGCCAGTTCATCTGTCTCTTTCTCTTCTATCTCTTGAGCTGCTCTTTCTTTTTCTGTCTGTTCATCACTTGCGGCTGTGTCTGCCACAACCTCAGATGTGCTGGCAACAGCTACCTCATCAACATTCTCATCAATCTTCTCTAAATCTCTTTTCTCCTCTTCATCTTTGGTTACCTCATCTTCTTCTTTATTCACTTCCTCGTCTCCAATTCTCTGTGCCTCCTCGTTTTCTTGCAAGTCAGATTGACTTTCTTCTACTAATTTATTTTCTGCCCCCCGACTATCTTCACTGTTCTTTACTGGAATTTCTTCCTCTGTTTCTTTATCTGAGGCTGCCTCAGCTTCTTCCTCAGGTGGGCTGGAACCTTCATCTTTACCATCTGCCGTTTCAGCATCAACTGTCTCCTCATCAATGCCTTCAACTGCTTCGTCTAAAGTACCAAAACGTAACAACAAAATAACATCAAATTTGAAATAGAATAATTAAAAATTGAAAATTTTATCAACAACAAGAAAATAATTCAACATTTAAAATTGTAACAAGAAATCTGAACAGCAACCAATCCAACGACAACCATCTCACATGCACTGATAGGTCTACTGCCAGGGTATGTGTACGGACGGTTCGGATCCGATGATTTGAATCTGACACGTTTTTTAGATGGGATAGGGGGCAACAGCTTGTATGGGCTGGTGCTCCTGTCCACCATACTAGCCCGGGGCCCTGCTCGAGGCTTCAAAACCAAGTGGTGCTTTGGTGATTTAACTTGCCTTGTTTGTGTGCTGCCTTGCTCTAGTTGGCTGTGTGTTCCAGCCTTGTCTTTCACATCTGGTCCTGTTGTTTTGGAACTAAAGCTGGATTCAAGAGACATAGTGCTGGCATCTGTTGTTCTCCTGGCTAGCTGGCTGCCAGAGCTTGTCGTTGTGAGCGGGCTGCTAGAGCTTGTCGTTGTTGTTCTCAGTCGCTGAAGCTTGCTCTCCAGCTGAGAGAGGTTGTCAGCCTTTTCATACACAGACAGCATTTTAATTTTGTGCGGCGGGTCGTTCATGACCCGATGGAGAGACTCCCTGATCTGGCATATCTTCCTCTCCAACAGATCCTCGTCACTTTCAATGAGGAACTCCTCCGACTCCACATTCTCCTCTGTGGTGTAATCCGGTGAGCCGATGCTGGATGAGGTGTGGATTGTCTCCTCAACAACAGGGGCCAGCTCATGGGCACTCAGGTCTGTGATGGTGCTGTCTGAGTCACTTTTGCTGGCCACACCCCGACTCTTGCTCATGTTGTTGTTTGTGTTCCTGGATCTAGTGGGGTCAGGGCTGTACCCTGTGCTGGAATCCTCGTCCCAAGAATCATGTCCTCCCTGGTTACTGGCCATGCTATCAACAAACTTAAATATACAGGGAGTGATGGTATTTTCTTTACTTGTCTCATTAGCTACATGACCAGGTATGTTAGTGGAGGTGTTTCTTTCATCATGGTTAGCATTGCCACCTGTAGTATTGTTTACATTACTCTGGCTATTGTTGCCATCTGTAGTATTGTTTACGTTACTCTGGCTATTGTTCCCATCTGAAGTATTGTTTATGTTACTCTGGCTATTGTTCCCATCTGTAGTATTGTTTACGTTACTCTGGCTATTGTTGCCACCTGTAGTATTGTTGACGTTACTATGGCTATTGTTGCCATCTGTAGTATTGTTGACATTGCTTAGACTTGCTTTGGAATGGTTATTGTTAATGTTCTTGACATCTGTGGCAGAACTTGTTGTATTTTCATCTGTGGGTACACTGCAAGAATTGGTTGCATCTTTAGCTCCACTGGCAGAATTTGAGTCTTTTTTAGCTCCACTTGCAGAGATTGAATCATCTTTAGCTCCACTTGCAGAATTTGAGTCATCTTTATCTCTAATGAAAGAATGTGTTTTATCTTTAACTCCACTAGAAGAATGTGTTGTCTCTATAGCTCCACTAGAAGAATTGGTCATATGTTTAGCTCCACTGCTAGAACTGGACGTTTTTCCATCACTAGCAGACGGCATCTTACTGGTGTTGGCATCACTTGACAGACTAGACCGGATGTTGCTGCTATTGACATCCGTGGATGAACCATCCTTGTTCTGAACACTTGGCGCTAAAGCCTCTTTGTTGCCACTAGACGACCCAACCTGCTCGACACTGACGGCACTGAGTCCAGTCGCCGGTGCCTGTCTGAGTGTCGGGGACATAAGATCCTCCTCTGCCTCCTCCGCTCCAGGTTCAGCGACCTCGGGAGGCTGGATGTTCCTGCCCATCAGGACATCCCTCTCATCCTTTGTTTTGGTTGAGCTCATCAGGTGCAGGTCGTGGTGGAGTCCCGTGCTCATGTCCGCCCTGTTCTCCAGCATCATGTATCTCTTGGGCGCCTCCAGCGTGTCCAGATAGGAGTAGTCCACTACATTCAAGAAGTCTGTCACATTGTATTTGTACAGCTTCCATCTCACTAGAGAACACAGTAATATTATGATATATTCCAGCTAAGAGAACACAGTAATATTATGATATATTCCAGCTAAGAGAACACAGTAATATTATGATATATTCCAGCTAAGAAAACACAGTAATATTATGATATATTCCAGCTAAGAGAACACAGTAATATTATGATATATTCCAGCTAAGAGAACACAGTAATATTATGATATATTCCAGCTAAGAGAACACAGTAATATTATGATACATTCCAGCTAAGAAAACACAGTAATATTATGATACATTTGAGCTAAGAGAACACAGTAATATTATGATATATTCCAGCTAAGAGAACACAGTAATATTATGATACATTTGAGCTAAGAGAACACAGTAATATTATGATATATTCCAGCTAAGAGAACACAGTAATATTATGATATATTCCAGCTAAGAGAACACAGTAATATTATGATACACTCCAGCTAAGAGAACACAGTAATATTATGATACATTTGAGCTAAGAGAACACAGTAATATGATATATTCCAGCTAAGAGAACACAGTAATATTATGATACATTTGAGCTAAGAGAACACAGTAATATTATGATATATTCCAGCTAAGAGAACACAGTAATATTATGATATATTGGAGCTAAGAGTAAATACAAACATAATATTCTAATTTCACTGGCGATTAAAATGTATTGCACAAAGTAATATTTACATAAAAACCTCAAAGGTTACAGAAACATATTGTGTAAATTGTATGTATATAAACCATTTGTAGTAAATATCTTTCAAATCTCTGCCAATGTTTAGTATAGACCTACACTTATATTTACTCACTACTAATTATAAAACTAAATAATCCTGCCATACTTAGAGAACGTGTTTAATTTTAATTGTTGATTTATAATTCAATGCTAGAGTGGACACTTGCCCAGCTAAATACAACCCAACCTGAAACTTAAGCCCAAGACAATGTCCAGCTAACTTACAACCTGAAACTTAAGCCAAAGACAATGTCCAGCTAACTTACAACCTGAGCCAAAGACAATGTCCAGCTAACCTACATCATGAAACTTAAGCCCAAGACAATGTCCAGCTAACTTACAACCTGAAACTTAAGCCAAAGACAATGTCCAGCTAACTTACAACCTGAAACTTAAGTCCAAGACAATGTCCAGCTAACTTACAACCTGAGCCAAAGACAATGTCCAGCTAAATACAACCCAACCTGAAACTTAAGCCCAAGACAATGTCCAGCTAACCTACAACACCTGAGGTGGCCAGGGACACATAGAAATGGTAGTTTCATTTTCAATTTTATAACTTACTGCCTTCACTTTTTTCAGATAATTGCTTGATTTTCCATTTCTCCATGGCTGTCTTATCATGGACCGAGGCAATGGTGGCGCTCCTGTGAACTTCTTGGTTGATCCTGGCCAGGTCGTTCTCTGCCTGGAAGATTTCGTTCATGGTCAGCCCGCCGTCAGGCTCATGTTCCCAGGCATCAAACATGGAGTCATCAATCTCCTCAACCTCAATCACAGGCCCTGTGACAAACACAATCACTTTTATCACAATCACAGGCTTGAGACAAACACAATCACTTTTATCACAATCACAGGCCCTGAGACAGAGAAACACAATCACTTTTATCTCAATCACAGGCCTGAAACAAATACAATCACTTTTATCACAATCACAGGCCTGAGACAAACACAATCACTTTTATCACAATCACAGGCCTGAGACAAATACAATCACTTTTGTCTCAATCATAGGACATGTGACAGACACAATTAATTTTATCTCAATCACAGGCCTGAGACAATTTAATTTAATTTAAATAACAAGACATGTGAAATACAAACACCATCGCATTTATCTCAATCACCGCACCTCCCAGTGTTTCATTCAGAAAAAAAAGGCGGGGGGGGGGGGGCAAACATAGTTAATTCTGTATATTTTCTATATAAATTTATACTTCATAATGCGGGCTGTAGTTGGGCTCCAAGGGCCCCTCAAAGAGATGCCTGAAAGAAACATTGGCTACTGCCCCCTCCAAAAGACAAAAATTTATAAAAAAATGACCATTCATTTCATATTTGTGTTTATAACTAAATTCCAAATAAAATTAGTTAAAATTTATGAGTTATATTAAGTCACATGAAAATTGTATGTCCTGTCTCTGACGTTTTTGAAAAGTATATTACTAAAACCTCATGAATTCAGTTAAAATGAATATGTAACAATGTCCTATTGTGCCATGTTTAAGATAGTTGGATAACTCTGTAACTTACACCTCCTGGGGTTCCTCAGAGTGCCTTTAAGCTCTCCATCATTCATTATGTCATCCCAGAACTCCTCCATTATTTGCAAAATTCTTAGGCGGTCCAGCAAACCAAGCTGAAATAAAAACCATTTTTATCACACCACATCAAGTAGAAAATCTAAACCAGTGGTTTTAAGGTATACAAGCCTGAATACAATTTAAAAAAAAATATGTATATAGAATAGAGCATGACATGTAGTTACAGATTTATTGAAAAGATGTAACTTTTGCTCTGAATATCATTAAATCTAATTTAGGTGAGATACATTTTCAAAGTAGCATTTTTTTAAATCAGAAAAACACAGTTATAATGATTACAAAAAAAAAACAAAAAACAAATAAAAATGTGAAAATAAAATTGTGAAAATAACAAGTTCAAATTTTAGAATCTCCAAAAACGTAAAAATCAAAACGACTCTTATATGTTTACCAAAGGTTCTTTTGAGCGCATGATTCGAATCATGTTGTTGAAACGCTGGCATAGAAATGTTTAAAATTACATATTTTCTATGAGGAAAAAACTGGGTCTTCAACTATATTATAAAAGTTATCAGGACATCATCCTATAGTGAGGTGTGAAATGCAAAGTAAATTTTGTGGCTCTCCCCCAAATATATATATATATATATATATATATATATATATATATATATATATATATATATATATATATATATATATATATATTTATATATATATATATATATATATATATATATGTATATGTGTATGTATTCCACTGAGATGGAGTGGCCTATGATGACACTAGATCTAGCTCCCCTCCCCCATCTAGAAAGGTGACATCACACTCACCCCTCCGTGATCACACATAAGGAAGAGGTTGGTGAGGATAACCCTCCTGTTCTCCCTCTCCGAGGCTGACCTGTGGATAGCTGCACATTTACTCATCTGCAGCATGAACTCCTCGAAAACGTCCATAGAAAAATCCTGAACAAACTTGCTGATGTACTGAAGAAAAATAAAAAGGTTGTTCATATTCATCAGTAAAAAGTTAGTATTTACAGCTAAGAAGAGTATGCGTATTAATCATATAGCTTATATACATATTTTAAATAGAAATTGGATATATCATATTAAAGTAAAGAATACAATTTGTACTTAGTACATCATTGGTAAAAGAAAATTATATTAAATAAACCATCTTTTGAAATAAAAAGTATAAGAACTTAAAAAGCAACACAACACAAGTAAATTCACAGACTGAAAGTTGATATGTAAAATACCATTATATTTTAATTTCAAATGAAAAAGAGCTATGTAAGATAACTCACCTGAGCAAAGTCATCTACACTAAGAGTTATCCCTGTCTCATCTGTGGGATCAAGCGGGCAACCAAATCTTGCAGCTTCTCTTAGCTCAGTTGGCCACTGGTCCACTAACTCAACAAATGACCGAAGAGCATTCTGTATCTGTATAAGTAAAGAGATCAATGAAAACTGCTGAGTAATTATTTATCCTTTCTGTGTCTAATAATGCATGCAAACCAAACCATCATCATCTTTTTCTATTCCTGCTTAACCCTTTATTTACGGAATTATGTTCTGAATGAGATTTTTACTTAAACAATGTGTTACTATATTGCTTTTGGCACATTCAAAGCATATTATGTCGAAGGAAATTTCGTTTCATAATTTTAATGGCCCAAACAGATATTGGTACTTATAAGTACCGTCAGTAATCTAGGAAATTTTTTTTTCAAAAAATTTTTTTTTACAAAACAGGAACAAACGATACAATTTATTAACTAATAACATGGCAATCATCATAACAATCTTTTTTGTAATTTTCACACATAAATACAGCACAAAAGTATATTTTGAGTACGATTTTTACTGGATTTTCTATGGGAACACATCTTAGACCTCATACACAGCAAAAGTAGTCGACATGTTATGCTCCCTCAATCTTGTCTGTGGTCTTTCTGGTATAGCAACGGTTGCCGGAGTGAATATGCTTTTGCTGGAAGCTTCCAATAACTAGTACAATGAGCCGCATAAACAAACAAAAGCCTAGTCATTCAGCACACAACTACTAGTAATACTAGTATAATTGTAGCCTACTAGAATGTTATGACAAGTCTACACTACAGAGCAAAGTTCATAAATAGAAGTAAGCTCAATGTGTTTAGGATAGCAGTAGTGGATTACTCTTTTCTGTTTACTGATTACAATTTACCTTATAGATCTATAGTATATATATGCAGAAGTATGGACTATTACTAGTCTACAGGTATACATTACGTAAATGCTAGTTATTGTTGGCAAGACAGTTTATTGCAGTAAATATAACTAACAAATTAAATCTAACTACTAGAACTAGGCTTTGGTATACAAATGCAGTAAACTAAACCTTGTAAACGAGCCTGCAACTGATACCTTTATTCTTGTTATTTTTTACTAATAGAAATTAACATGTAATTACAATATTTCTTAGGTAAACCTTATGCAAACCTTCTTATAAATGTGTAAATATCATTTTTTTGAGTACATTTCGATTATTTATTATCAAGACAATATTTATGTAACTCCACCTAACAAATCTGCCATTTTCTAAAAATCCTAAAAAAATGACCGTGTGCCCTGACGGTACTTATAAGTCCACTTGTAAACATCGATCTAATACAAAGACAATTTGATTAAAATTGTATAACTAGAAGTTAAACGCGTTTGCCTGACTATTGAAGGTGCCAATAAAAAATATTCGGGGTTGAAAACTTGAAAAATAAGGTAAAACAAAGGGAATTCAGGAACGTGTGTGAGAACTGTACAGAACAATTGTGAACTACCGATATAGCAAGACATTGAAAATGCCGCCACACCATTAATTTTAAAAAAACATTGATACCTCTGACTACCGGCGACTCAGGGGAGATAATACTATTAATTACCTCAATAATTTTTAAAATTCGTATTAAATTAAAAATAATACAGGCACTTAATTAAAGTGGTACTTATAAGTACCGTCAGTAGATAAAGGGTTAAGACACATGGGGCAGATAAAGTAGAGTTCATCTACTTCAGTGAACTTGGCATATGAAGGGATTGTGTAACCAGCACTATGTCCAGCCACCCAGTTCATTACCCATCAAAGCTGGGTTGACTCAGGAACAACCTGCAGTAATTAGTCCAAACCAGGATTCGAACTCGAAACCTTCTGGCTAGCTGCTATAAGCTACCATAGACTACACCATTCCTCTTTTACAAAATAAAGAGGTTATTAGGCTGTTATTGTTTTTTTATGCCTAGCAATGTAGAATACAAAATTTATTTATACTAGTATTGTATTGATCTGGATTGTAAGTTAAAAAAATCCTAGAAAAGCAATGATAAGTTTACACACAGGCTTTGAAAGGCATCAATGACGAAAATACCCAGCCCAAAATCTCAGTAAAACTTGATTAGTTCAGAGAAGTCAACAAGCATACAAAGAACTTACCAAGCAGAGAGGCACTCTATTATTATCTGTGGGGATGTTCCACTGCTGGAACTGTGTGATGAGCTGTTCTTTCCTGTTTTCTCTGGCCTCCATCAACTGTTGCTCATGTTTTTCTCTTTCTGCCCTCTTACGTCGGGCTTCAGCTTTGATTCTTGCAAGCCTGTACAAATTTTAGGGTAGTAAAATATGGTCTATACACCATCTTGCAAGCCTTTACAAATTTTAGGGTGGTAAAATATGGTCTATACACCACAAGGAAATTGTTGTTTTCTTGAAACAGGGATTAAATTCAGGAAGTTAACACACAACCTATTAATAAATCACATATCGTTTTCAGTAACATAGAATGGGGTATTCATTAAAATGCAAAACTGCCTTATTAGCCCAAAAATAAAAATTCTTAAAACATTTGGATGAATTTGATGCTTAACAAAATATTTTTCATGATGTGCTGTGCAAACTGTACCAACTACAACATCCCTATACCACTGACCATCGGACAGTTTTCACATACCTATTTTAGTTTGCTGTTATAGACTAATCTATCTAATTCCAAGGATTACACATCTAATACATTTTAAAAGAGATGAAAGTTCAGAGCTCTTTTATCTAGGTCAAGAAAAATATCTATATTACACTTTTTATGGTAGAAATATTAAACATAACAGACATCCATTTCAGCAGCCCCAATAATTTTTGGAGATTTAGTTTTTAAGTTTATCTCACGGTTCTCCCCATTGTTCTCATGAAGATGCAAGTGTGGATGTTGTCCTTAGTGCTGTAGTATATGCTTAGAGCCCAACTATTAACTAAACATGGAATTGTGGTGCTTTTATTTTAAGAAATAGAAATTATATATTTTTTAAGGAGGACAAACTAAAACTTTGATGTACTAATCTCAAGAAGAACAAACAAAAACATTGATGCACTAATCAATTACCTGTTATCTTCAAATGTAAATAATTCTTGCTTAATTTCTTCGGAGACTTCCCGTAATCCTCTGACATAGGGTGATGCTTCTGCAAAGTTACTGAACCTGGGGTTGTTGCGCATCAAGTACTGAGCAAGGTAGTTGATGGGGTTAAACTCAGGCTCAAAGCGGTTGGTGGCTGATAAACCTTTTTCATCAACTTCTTTCAAAAGTCTTTCAACACCTAGAACCAATGTTGGCAAAACCTAAAAATGAACAATCAATCTGTTTATTAGTTTCTCTATGATTATTTTAAATATAGAGTTACTGAATATGAACATTAATCATACACACTGTTGGTAGAGATATAAATAAAAAAGACTTAGGTATTAATACCAATGGGTTTATAAGTTGTACAATTTTAATTTCTTTTAATCAAGACAAAATTATAAGATCTAGCCAAGATTTCCCCCACCTAGATCTATATTATATTACAATAAAAACAATGAAATGATGCACTAGATAAAATTAGATTTAAAACACTGACATTGTCCACCAAGTATGCTCTCATATCCACAGTGGCATCTTCTTTTGATAGCCATTCTTTAGCTAACAGCTCAACTGGAATTTTACGGATGATTTCTCTAGCTGCTTCCTTTGATAACTGAACATTCTGTTTCTTGACTGCATGTTTTTCATCCAGCTTTAGCATAATGTTCTGTTCAAAGATGTTTTTCCATCTTTTGGATGCACTGCGAGGTGCAGGTGCTGAGTAGCCACCAGCACTTTGCCCCTTTTTACCACACAGGTTTTCCATGAGGAATTCCTGTTGAGTGGCCGGCTTCTGGGCTGTGTCATTGTAATCAAAGTCATCCTCCATGATGTCTGTGAAAAAAAAAAGCAGCTTTTGGTTTAATTTTGAACACATAGGTTCTTATAAAGATGTGTTTGTAAGTAGGGCCTACTACAGCCATTAATCAAGTTACACAATATTACAACATGGAACAGCATGATTGGATGGTAGAGCGTATGTTTATAACCCAAAAGTCTAAAGTTCAAATCCCATACTTATGTCCAGAGGAAATCCCTGAATCCAGCCAGTTATGGTGATTACTCACAAAAGGGAAAGTAAAGGCAACTGGACATAGTGCTAATCATTTGCTGAGATCATAGAAACAGCTGTATTCATATTGAATATTCATTTGTTTTGTCCCATGGACCACCAACAGATTTGAAAGGGTAACATATATATTTTGTTTACATTATACTAGTTTTATGTGAATTAGTAATAATTGCATTTACAATATTCAATATACGACATCATAAGAGTCTAGGATCTAGATGAATAATAATAACAATAAATAGGCCTACTAAATTAATTATAGTATTAGGCCTAATCATTATAGGCCTATTTATTATCATCACCTAATTTTCAAATAATGCTCACAACTAGTACTAGCCAGATGTATCAGATAATCAGCTCAGTGTAAGTAAGTCAAGTGACTGCTAAAGTTTTTAATTTAAAAAAAAAGTTTTTTCGGCTTTTAGGCTACTACTTTAGTACTTACTAACTAATAGTAACTATAACTAGAGACAGAGGAGTAGAAGTAGATCTAGAATCTAGAACTTAGGGGCCTACTTGTTCTTTATTGAATTCGATTATTAGATTAGAAATAATTTACTTAGGCCTAAGATTTGATGCTTTAGCATTTTTAGACTAAGTTAAACAAATATTATAAATAAATAAATAAATAAGAAATCAGAAATCTCTTTTAAAAAATATTGTAAAATTGTAAAATATTTTAAAATTATTAGATCTAGTAATATTTTAGAGCCTTACATCCCAACAACACTTTAATTTTTTAAGACAAATACCTATTTACAGATATATCATCCAACCATGAAATACGTTTGTTATTGTTTTTGAAATATGGTTTCTAGACTCTAGCAGACATTGGATTAATTTTGTAAATAAAAAGCAACGCCATTGTTCGTTGCTAAGAGGAAACAAACATTTGAGCATGCGTATTGAGTTTCTTCCTACCCCAGGAAAGACAACTTAGGATAAAATTTACTTCCGTATTCTACTCTTGTGTCATCAATCAAGGGACGACTTCCTGTTTTGGATTCGTTCTTTTAGTATATTTTGTCAACATAACCATGGGCCATATACACAGAATGCCTCCTTGATTAATAATGATTAGCGTTTAAAATGGCCCTTGTGACAATACAACGGTCTCCCAGTCCCAGCACCGACCCCGAACTTGTAAGTTATTATAATATTAACAATATTAACAAAATCACAAATCAGCTTCTTGTTCAGTCTAGTACTGTAGTAGTCTGCAGTAGTACTGCTGGGTCTGTCTGAGACTCTGAGAGTGAGAGTGACACTGAAACAAGTCTGAGAGTGAGAAGTGAGAATCATAAATCAAGTGTTGATGTGGAGTAGACTAACTAAACTATTAAACAGATTTACTTTAGATAAATACTTAAGACTAATAATTTACTAATAAAATAAAAATCTAGCTAGAGGCTACTACTTTTTAACTTAAGCCACTAAAGTTTTTGTCTATTTGTTAACAAATGGGATGATTATAGATACCAGTGTCCAATAATGGAATCTTCTTTAAAAAAGGGGTGTTGGGTTGTTAGTAGTATTGTAATCTCGACTAATTTTATGATTAGAAATTAGGGTTAGGCGTATGTTTGGACCAGGGTTGGGGTTAGGGTTAGGGACAGGGTTAGCATTGACATTAGCCAGCCATGTGTGTATTTAGTTAACTACCAGTAACCTAACACCCCTTTTTTAAAGAAGATTCCATTTTCAGACACCGGTGTAAACATTCTCCCTGAAAAGTTAATTTAAGCCAATTTAGGCTAATAGATTTTAATTAGATCTAGTAAAAAACTATTCTGACTTGTAGCTAGATCTATTCTATATTCTTTATTAACTAAGCCCTGCTGTAGCGTGTTGTCTAGTGTTTGAAGAACAGAGATTATCTCTGCCTGGTACCCAACCACCAGAGATTGCACTATTTCAGTTTTGACAAATAAAAAAGGGAAAGGATCCTCACTAGAATTCTTTTTTTGGTTAAAATGTTGAAAGCACTTCAAAAACTATCAACCAAACAGGGTTACATTTATGAATAAGCAAGAGAAGTATTTTTAACAGAGTAGAGTGGTCTATGAGTAGGTTTAATAAATATATTACTTCCTACCAGAGAAAAAAAAATATTTGCATCTTTTTAATAGTAAAATTATATTGAAAACTAATAAATATTATATTGCAGGATGCTGATAGTACTGAAGATGTCAGTGAAGGCAGATCACAGCTACGCAAAAGGTAGCCTATATATGATACTCTATTACAAGTTTATGTATTGTATTCATCAAGTTTAAAATAGATGTGATTTTAGATCATCATTTCATAGTTTTTATTTATTTATTGTTTTTTTTGCTTTTACGTCTGTTTGTTTTGTGTAGATATCAAGTTATATAATATATAATTATTTCCATTGTTAATATAGAAATCTATGAAGTTCATTTTGGAGTTTGCTTTTTTTATATTTGTTGTAATAGTTGTTTGAGAAATTATTTTCTAAAAGTTAAAAAATACTTAACTTTGAATTAAGTTGATTGCCTTCTTATTTCCTCTTTATAAACTTTATTTTTTGTTTGCGGCAGAGAAATAAAGTGGGGGTGACCCAAATTGAGACTTTTAAGGTTCCACCTTATTTTTATATTTTACTTTTACAGCTGCTGAATTCTTTGACAAACACAGTTTTTCCAACACATTGTATTGCAGAATTGTAGTAGCATGTCAAAATAATTTTTTTTAAAAATAAAATAATTACAAACCCCCCCACAAATTATTACCACAAAAATTGCAGTAACCACAGTATGGCATTTTTATAGTGAATCTTTTGCAGAAATGAAAAATATTTTTAAAAATATTGTAAATCCAATGCAAAAATACAAATAAGTAATGTTAAAATTGAGAACTTGTTTTATGTTGGATGATGAGCATCCTTTGTTGAGTAAATGAAAAGTTTACTTGCTAAAAACACATTAGACCAACAATACTTTGCCATGTTTCCAAGAATATACTGATTGCTTATGTATATTCCTAGAGTGTTAAATTTTACTTGTAGTACCTGCTTTAAAAAAATTCAAATACATTTTGTTTACTATAAATTTAAAAAAATAACTAGTTGTTTCCCCTTGGCTATCCTTACCAACTTAAAATTGTTTATTTTGCTTCCCATCCAGTGAAGGCTAATGCATCTACTAGTCGGCTCTACAGGGTTTGTCTTTAGGTAGATCTTATGAACTTTGACCTCAGTTTTACTCTTTGGCTTCAGTAGATTTTTTCTATCATTGAATAGCTGGTGTTTTCCCTTTTGCTGCTTTTGGTTCAGACTGTTTAAGACTTAGCCTTTAACTGCACTGTTTAGATTATACGGAACTGCTTTTTTAAAGAATAATATGGGGAGGTTTTATCTTACATTAAACTTACTCAAGCCCCCAGTTTTTCTGCTTTTTAAAATCTGTGTACAAATATTTATCTCTATCTGCCAACCATAGAAAATTCTCAATAAAGAGGTAAGGTTTTTATTAGCTAACTTTCAGAAGATAAACCTTGCAAGATCTTGCTAAAAAATTCTGTTTATAACATTAAAAACAGTATTTGTTTATAGTATAACACAAAAAGCATGGACAGTTTCATTGAGAACACTATTTCTGTATGTTATGAAATTAAAAAAACATGGAGATTTGAATTTGAGAATCTATATATATGTATGCCATGAAGTAAAGGAAATTTAAATCAAGAACCTGTTTGTGTATATTACATAATACAATGCATGGAGAAAAAAAAATTGCAACTCCTACTCACCCCCTGAAAAACGTAGCCTGTTACTCTTACAGTATTTTCCTACATGATAGCCGTGTCGCACATACAGAATGTTCCCACATCATAGCCATGTTGCACACTTGTTTTCAGATCAAAGACCTCCAGAGAGAAGCTGAGAAAAATATTCAGCACCGTGCGCTTTATTTCAAAGCTGCGGCCTTGGTGAGCAGCAGAGGTTCTAACGCATCTTGGCTGCTATAATTAGTTCCTGGAACTATTGTGTAGCAGACATGCATCTTGGCTGCTATAATTAGTTCCTGGAACTATTGTGTAGCAGACATGCATCTATCTTGGCTGCTATAATTAGTTCCTGGAACTATTGTGTAGCAGACATGCATCTTGGCTGCTATAATTAGTTCCTGGAACTATTGTGTAGCAGACATGCATCTTGGCTGCTATAATTAGTTCCTGGAACTATTGTGTAGCAGACATGCATCTTGGCTGCTATATTTTTTAGTTCCAGGAACTACTATTCATAGAACTTTTTTTAACCCTTTAACTAGTCATTGATGGATAAAAGCTACACTGGTCTCCATAATATTGTTGCTGGGACCTTGTCATATGGGGATTCTAAACAGGAAAATGAGCTTGAAAATATTTCAGCATACTAGTTGTTGTGAGAGTAAAATGGTGTAAAAATAATGCTGACAATGTGGGTTATATAGAGGCTTTAGATTTAAACAGGAGGGAAATATTCTTTTGCTTTTTTTTAGAGAGACTAGTAATCCAACTCTGAATTACTTAGTTTTCTTTATGGGTGACATAGGTGAATTGACAGTGTAAAAACAGTGTGTCTTTGCAATGAAAAAATATTTCATCTTTCCATTGAAATATATCTATTTTATATATTGCATTCTTTATGGGCGTTGCTAAAAAAATGCACATTTAGACAGCAATACTTTAAATAAGGGTTACATTAGTGAGAGTACGATTTGAACCGTGTGACATTTGTCCATCATTGATTCTTTGATCATTTGATTCTTGCTTGACTCCTTGCATGACCATACAGGATTTTATATTTATCTACCATTTCACTACCGCATGGCTGGGTCACTGTTGGACATAGCCCTTTTAAGTTGGTGCTTGATTGAGATTTGATTTGAGTCTTTCCACCTGGGTGGTTGTGTAGTTTCACCTGTCTGATATAGGTGAAAAGGCTAAAGATTAAAATAAAGGCTGACAGTGGTACAGATAATAACACAAAAGGATGATGGTACATGGGACAGACTTAAGTTAAACATGTAGGATGGGTGGTAAATGTAATGTAAGGGTAGTAAAATATTTAGTATGGTAGGTGAACTGATTGAATAAAAAGTATCAAATCTGTGAGCAAGTTTTTCTTGTTACAGATTGTAACATGACTTTTGAACACAATGTAGGCGTGGTAAAACATGAAGCATGGATGTTTAAACATGAAGTAAGGGTAGTAAAACCTGGAAGAATGGGTTGGTAAGAATCAAGTATAGGTGGTAAAACATCAAGTATGGGCAGTACAACATCAAGTATGGGTGGTAAAACATGAAGTATGGGTGGTAAAACATGAAGTATGGGTGGTAAAACATGAAGATGGACAGTAAAACATGAAGTATGTGTGGTAAAACATGAAGTATGGACAGTAAAACATGAAGTATGGACAGTAAAACATGAAGTATGGGTGGTAAAACATGAAGTATGGGTGGTAAAACATGAAGTATGGACAGTAAAACATGAAGTATGGGTGGTAAAACATGAAGTATGGACAGTAAAACATGAAGTATGTGTGGTAAAACATGAAGTATGGACAGTAAAACATGAAGTATGGACAGTAAAACATGAAGTATGTGTGGTAAAACATGAAGTATGTGTGGTAAAACATGAAGTATGGACAGTAAAATATGAAGTATGTGTGGTAAAACATGAGGTAAGGGTGGTAAAACAGATAACAAATATGAATCATTGCCACAGCTAACAGTCCTAAGATGTATTTAGTTTCTTTTGGAATTTAATCTGCTTAAACAGAGCTTGATACAAATAATATCCTGAAGATCTTGTTTTTTTTTGGAATAGTGCCTGGTTTCTTTCTGACAGCTGATGTGTATGCTACAATGTAATCAATGTTTATTAACTAAAACTGACATGTTATATAGTGCAGCTCTGTGTATATCTCCCCTAGAAACATTTACATATTGGAGAAATTTAAACATTTGTTGTGTTACACTGTTGATGGTCAAATACAAACTACTGAGGACTTAACTTGTACAAAAAACTGGCCATGTTTGAGGGGCTTACATCTAAAGGTTCTGCACCAACAAACACAATAATTCATCAAAGGACACAACCAGCCACTATGTTTTAAACAAAACAATCTATGTGTATTTTATGGTTGTTAGTTTTATATGGTACAACTATTGAAATATTCTTAACTGAAATAAGCATTGATATTTTAACATTTCACAAGAATTATTTTACACAGATTCTTATTATAATTTTACAATAACATTTTTGTTTTTAATTTCTCTACGCTTGACCTGTATTATCTGCCTAACTACTAAAATGTCAGTAGATTAATCTTGTACATGGCTAGACTACTCCCTACCTTAAATAACAGCATATATTTGAACATGTAGAGCTTCTCTAACAGAGAATATTACTAAATGTCAGTGTAAGGTTAATTATGTAATGTTGTTGGATTTTAGGTAAAGTACTTCCAAAATGTTTTTTTATTTTTGAATAAAATTATTTCTAATTGTTTTAATATAATTATGACTGTTAGATATCTAAATTGGATTGATCTTGCACATGAGAAGTTTTTTAATAAGTCGATTAGTGGCCATCTCTTCAAATTCTTTAAGCAAATAGTTCATTCAATCTAAATGTAATGAAATCACCTGAACACATTCTATGAAATGGTGTTGTTTTTTTTTTAATGTTGATTGTCAGAACTTTATTAAAATTGTGTGTCACACATTGTGTGTGAGTGTGTTGCTTGATTTAACTGCATTTTAAAATATTCCATCAAATCTTCTTTTTGACAGCCTTAGTGAAAGTTATTTTACAGTCAAAGGGGCAGCACTCATACTTCCACATAATGAATGCACAAAGAAAACTACTAAGAAAAGTCATGGAGGTAAGAAAGGCTGTCTTGAGTTTGTATTACATCAATTTTCTCTATATTTTTTTTTATTTTTCTAACTTTGTTTGGGGATTTTTTTTTTCTAAGACAAAAAAAAAAAATATTACGTTCTAAATTTTTGGCAATATTTGATACATTTTGTTTTTTTATTTCAGGTGAAATTCAAAGTCATTTACAGGCCATGCTCCACCTATTGAGACCAGAGGACTCCATCAAAATTGTAAATACTTATATTGTCTTATTTTTTTTAGATTTTTTACTTTGCATTTTAAAACCCAAATTTTGTAGCTCATTGTATATGGACAAAAAGGTATAACATGGCTCACATTTTTCAGAAATTGTAATCCTTTATATGTTGTATTTTTAAGCTTAGCAACAATAATTATATTGCATTTAGCTTATTTAACAATTGTTTATATTGCTATGGAAAAAGAATATACAAATTTATAAGAAAAACAATTAAATGAAACTTCTAAGTTTTTTAAATTAATATCACCACTAACATACTAATTAAAGTTACATTTGATTTTGTTAAGTACCTGACAGCCATAACACTCCTTGCATACTTAGTATAGTTACACTCAATTAAACTAATTAACCGGACAAAAGTGACATCTATTTCAACTAATTAACTGGACAGCCTTAATATACATGGTAAACGGTCATCTATTTCAACAAGTTAACTGGACAGCTTAATATACTTGGTAAAGTGACATCTATTTCAACAATATAACCTGCCAGGCTGTTCGGCTAGAAGATGTAAACAGTTCCAGTCGCTACATGGCGCTGGTCTCTACAAGAGGGCGCCAGGACACAGAAGAGGCCGTCATACTTGGCATAGACTGTCATGGGAGTGAGGCTGCCATAGGCCTGGTGCTCCCTGTCTGGGTGGGGCTGAGGTTAAAGTTAGGCGGAGATGGGTAAGGTTTAAGTGTGGTTAAGTATTATATGATGAAATATAATATAGAAATAGTTGCACTTTTTACCTAAAAAATATTGATTTATTAAAAACATTTTGAGGTGTAATTCCCATTTAAAAAAAATCATGTTTTAAGATATTTGAATCAGTTAATTAAGTAAATTTTTTCTAGTGTAATTAACTTTGTGTGCTGTTATTTGAAGAAACATTATAAATTCAATTTCTCACTCTCTTTAACAGAGGTTTTAGTTTGTGTGCGGATGAGCAGCACTACCTGTTCAAGCCTGTATCAGTCCAAGCTATGTGGTACAAACCTTCTTCACTCATTTTCATTATCTCTTTACCAATTTAAATTAAGGGGGTGGCATGGCCTAGTAGCGAGCTAGACTTGTTTTCAAATCTAAGTTCAAATCAGTATAACCCCGAGTCCACCCAGCACTCATGTTAGGGAAACAAAGGCGGCTGGGCAAAGTACTGACCATTTTATCCCTCTGTATGCCAAAGTCATTTAAACAGAGGAAATCTACTTCCTCTGCCCCATCTGTCTTTGGCACAAACGGAAAAAGATGATGGATTTAAATTAACTAAATTAAATTGAGTTTTTGGTAAGATTAAATAGATAATTAGAGAAAGGATTGGATTAAGTTGTAAATAAGTATAAATTTTCTGATATACTTTTGCTTTAGGTCAGCCATTCAGAGCCTAGTGAAGGTGATGCATGTTGCTGAAGACAAGAAGTACATTGACACAGGTCTCACACACACTTGGGTGGGCTACTACAACTCTCGCATTGATAGGAGGGATGCTACAAGGCTCTGTCAGTGGTGAGCTAATCTTACCTCTCTGGTTAAGTTGATCTCACTGGTTGGTTAAGTTTATCTCACTATTTGGTTAAGTTCATCTCACTGGTTGGTTAAGTTTACCTCACAGGTTTATTGTTTGGTTAAGTTTACCTGGTTAAGTTTACCTCACTGGTTTATTGTTTGGTTAAGTTTACCTCACTGGTTGGTTAAGTTTATCTCACTAGTTTATTGTTTGGTTAAGTTTGACTGTTGTACTAGTTAAGTGTTGGATCAAATTACTTTAGCTGCTGCCTTTTGAACTGGACTGCCACATTCAACTGACTTGCGATTTTATGTTTTCAGGAATGTCGTGGGAATCGAAGTGTTTGCGCCATCAAGCCTTTCACTCAAAAGTGATGAGTAAGTAACATTTGGTCTAGAATTCAACACCCCCTCCTTCCCCCATTCAGGTGTCTGATTTTAATGCACTGGCCTCTGTATTTTGTTCTGCCTCTCATCCTGCTGATCATCTTTCAGTGAGAACGAGAACATCAAGATGACCATCAGTCAGAATCTGAAGGATGTCATGATGTCAGTGGACCTTGATGAGGCTACTTCAATTATGGTAGGTCATGACCTCCCCCCACACCCACCAGAAAAGATCCACTAACCCCCATACTTTTGCTAAGCCTCTAAAAGCTTGTTAATACAAAGTTTTACACCCAGCCCATCTTACAGACACTCCCCCCTCCCTCTCATATCCACCTTGACTTACAGCCTATTTCCCTAATGACAGACATTACTTCCCACCTTCCAGACATACACCCCAATTATCCCTTCCATCTACCAAACAATACCCCCCACCCCTACCACTAAAAAAGATCAACAATACACATCATGACCCTGTATTTATTCACAAATTTATGCAGCAGTTCATAAAATAACACATAGACTAGTTAATAAAAAAGACTATCAAAATAAAAACATACTAAAGAATTGTGCAAGTATCTATTTACAGTATGCTGTGTTCTTAAATATTGCTGTTATTAAATTAATTTAAAAATATCAACCAAGATTTTATATGCATTTTATAGTAACAAGTTAAACATCTATCTATATATATATAATTCTCTTCTGGGAGCCGTTAGAAAACAAGCTGCAAACGCGCCTTGCAATCCCCTCTCTTCCTCACTAGGCATAAATCAACCTCCCCCACCCCCGCATGGTCTGATGAGCTGTAGTTCACTCTAAATGTTTACATTTTACAATCGTTGAGCTGAGTTTAGTGACGGCTATTAGGGGCAGACAATTTAGTTTGAAACTATTTTAAACTTAGGGGAGGTAACTAAGAGAAGGCTGCTTTCACGGGTGGGGGGGGGGGGGGCAAGGAAGGAGGGTTTTAGTGTTTTAAAGCAAATATTTTCAGTGGCAGCATTGGTACTGTAGAATTCACAAATTATGAATTACTAAAAAGTAGAATATAAAACAACTAAATGGCGGCGTATGATACGCTGCGGGTCGGCTCGTACTTTTTATTTTATTATAATAGAAAGAAAAAACAAAAGCAATGGTCACAAAATGTATTTAAAATATTTTCCTATTCACTAGATTAAATTTACTAACAAAACTTGAAAGTGAAAGCTCTTTAAAACAATTGTATTGCATTGTATCATTTACAGCTGCGGAAGAAGGTGGAGGAAAAGATGGGGATCTCTCTAGCGGAGTTCAAGAGTTTCTTTGATGAGGAAGTCATGAGGATTCTGGGACAGATGGATGAGCCATCCAAGATTTTGGATTATCTGTATCTGGGATCTGAGTGGAACGCGTCCAACTTGGAAGAATTAAAAAGCAAAGGGTAAAAAGATTTTAAAATCTGTTTCTCTAATCTCTAGCAGTAAGTTTAAAAATCTTTTTCTTATGTTTTTTTTATTTCACTAAATATTTAAAAGAAAGAAAATTTCTCTAATTCACAAAATGACAAAGAAGTAGTAACTGTTGATCTCATCAGGTAAAGCACCACTCCTTAAAAAGTTTTTAAATTACATGTGCATATAACTTGCTTTCAACATATGTTAAATGTAAAAGAGTAAATTACATAATGTATTATTAAAGAGTAACTTACTTGCTTACAGAATAAGTTATATACTGAATGTGACGAAAGAGATCGACAACTTTTTTGTCGGCATGTTCCAGTACTACAATGTGCGTGTGTGTGATGTGGAAGAGGAGGAGTTGCTCAAACATTGGGACAAAACTTACAAGTTTATCACTAAAGCTAGGTAGTTAAGTTGTGATGTGAGGGGTAGTTAGGTGGTGTAGGGTAGAGATGTAGTGGGTTCCAGTACTACAACGTGCGAGTGTGTGATTGGGACAAAACTTACAAGTTTATCACTAAAGCCAGGTAGTTTAGTGCTGGTGTGTGGGTAGTTAGGTAGTGTAGGGTAGTGATGTAGTGGGTTCCAGTACTACAATGTGCGTGTGTGTGATGTGGAAGAGGAAGAGTTGCTCAAACATTGGGACAAAACTTACAAGTTTATCACTAAAGCTAGGTAGTTATGTAGTGATGTGAGGGGTAGTTAAGTGGCTGTTTGTAGGTTAGTGATGTAGTGGTGTGTGGGTAGTTTGCTAGGGTATGTAGGGTAGTAAAGTAGTTAAGTAGTGGTGTGTATGGCTGTTAAGAGTTGGGGTGAGGGTAGTTTGATAGTGGTGTGTAGGGTAGCTCAGTATTATAGGATTAAGTCAGGTAGTGCATGGTAGTTGATTAGACTAGTATTAAGCAAGGCAGATAAGTAGAGTGTCTTGCCAAGTCTGGATGTTCAAGTGATGTTGTATATTATCAGATAGTTAGTATAGTATCGTAGTAAACATGTCATATTAGGTCAAATAGTTACATTTTTGATCAAGTTGGATTCTCTTGGATATTTTAACTTGTCTTTGTTAACAGAACTTGTTTCTGTTTTATTATAAAAAAAATTAATAATCCTAATAAAGTTGTTACTAGCACTCTTGTGGTATACTTGTAACTTATTACATCATTTATCTCCCCAGAACTCATAATGCCAAGGTGCTGGTACACTGTAAGATGGGAGTTAGTCGCTCAGCATCAACTGTAAGGAGTTTTCTTTCTTTAACTTATTTTTTAGAGTACACTCTCTTTGTTTTTTAAAAATAATTTGTTAAATATGTTTTGGTCTCTAAACTGCCTGAGATGAAGTCTTTAACTAGCTGTTCTACCCCAGCTTGTCATTGTTTTAACATGATCTGTCATTGTCCCTACAGGTGATGGCCTATCTGATGAAGGAGAAGCGCTGGTCAGTGGAGCAAGCTTTTGATTTTGTCAAGAAGCAGCGGGGCTGTGTACAGCCTAACAATGGTTTTATGGAGCAACTCCGCATGTATGAAGGCATTTTGACGGCTAGGTAAACGATTTGTAAATTATATTTGTACTTGTTGGCAGGTCACTGTAGTGTCCTTTTATTACCTTCCCCTGTACATTCACAAGATGCAGTTTGTGTTGGAGCTCATATGAGCGTTGATTAGAAAAAAATTTATTGTAAAACCTGCTTAGTCAACTTTTTATACAAAATAAGTTCCCTTTATAGCTTTTTTAATCAAATTTAAATTATTTTTCATACACATTTTTGTTCTAAAAGTATACTTTAGATTAATCTTTTAACAGTAAAAATTAAATATCCTAAGGTTAGTTAGTTTGATAAGTCAATTAGCTCAAAATCAATCTGAAGTGACTCAGCAGGTTTTACAAATGGACTCCTCATTTGTTTATTCCATTTTGTTCTCAGCTATCACACCCATATTTGTTTTTCTTTCAGTAATACTGTTTTTTTTTACAGATTTTTATAACGTTTTTTTTTACAGATTTTTATACTGGTATTTTTACTGATTTATATAGTTTTTTTTTACTGATGTTATACTGATTTTAGAAATGTTTATTGTATAGTGACTTTATGATAATTATCAAAGCATACATTTTACAACACCAGAAGACATATCTTAGGCTAGACAGCAATATCCTGTGTTACTAGTTTAAAATAAATTAGCTGTTTAATTGTCGTAGAAAAGACGTTAGAAAGTTTCCCCCCCACAGCAACCAGCGAGACATCTTCCGCACCAAGTCTGATCAAAATCTTCTGGAGGAAAACACAGTAGAAACATCCCAGGGCTCTTTTTTAGGTCAGAGCCTCTTCTCTATGATGTCGTACTCTGATTGGTCGAATACAGTGACCTCTGGGGGTGTGGCATATAAGGAAGAGTGGTCAATTCCTCTTAAATTAGGTATGTTACACAGGCATTTAAGCAAGAGAGATTGATTGCTCTGAAAAATGTTTATTATAAGTATTTGCATGTTAAAATTTTAGTTCATGTTTTTAGGATTTAGAAAAATTAAGTTGAAAGAGGGAGTATAAAATTAAGTTTTTAACCGTGTCTCTAGAATTAGTTATAATTATTCTTTTAAATTTATGGATGTTTGTGGCTCATGGAGTGTGTCATATCTTTCACTAGACTCAGCTCTCAACTTGAACATGATGCAGAGAGACATGGACCTGGAGGCGGCAGAGTCTCGCAGCGCTGACTCAATAGATGAATGTCTGCCTGACGTCCCCTCTCCCCCTCCCTCGCAGGAAACCAGTTCTGACTTCCACCCCAACTATTCTGGCAACCCAATATTGGTCGTGACCGCACCTCCGTGTGCCTCCTCACGTGCACATTTCGACCTCCTTTCTTCAGACACTGAGACCATGGACAGCGACGCCTCGTCAGCGCAGCACTCCCAAAGTACTGGAGACAAACCCAGCACTTCTCAGACAGCCAGCATCGGAGCCGCTGGGCCGAGAATTAAACCTGACAGCTCGTGGATACGGTTGGACAGTCTTGATAATCCAGATGAAAAAGACGACATAAATGTGAAAGTTATTTCTGAACTTCAGACAGACACTGAGGCTCAACCCTCGTATGGGAATACGGCTTTAAATACGAACATCCTGAACTCAGACGCAACAGGTGACGTTCTTGTAAACGCTGACCAATCACAGACTCACTTGTCCTCTTCAGTAGACCCCCCATTTAGTAACAATTGTATACAAGAATTCTGTGATTATTCTAGAAACAGTAAAAAATGTGTTCATCCCCTGGAGGAGAAACTGAGCCCACAGATTTCTCTCAGCCCCGTGAAGGAAAATATATCTTGCTCAACAGTTGTAAGCCCCAACCTGCGTGAAACTCACCCCCCTTCAGTGAGCCAGGTGGGGGGGATAGAAATTTCTAGACCTGGCCATGAGAAAATGGTGGACAGGTTCGATGACCCAGAAGTGAGTCCAGATGTTGATGGGGATTTGAAATCAAAAGATGAAACAACCCCTACAAAACAATCAAAAGCCGGCGCAACAAAGATTGATATTGGTGTGAGGCAATATTTTTATAGGGAAAAAATTCCATGGCACCCTGGCAAGGTAATGATCATACGCATGAAAATTTGTGTATTAATATAGATTAAATTTATTAAAGCCTTTGTCTTAAAATATGTGTTTGGTAAAACTCTGATTGTGTTTATTTAAAAGAAAACATTACTTTTTAAACTCTTACTTTAGAGATACATATGTGTTAGTGCTATTTTTTTTATTTAGCTGAAATATTTCTTTATCTTCTAAAGCTTAATAGGATAGGAGGTCATTCTTTCATAATGCCAAAATAAATCCAAATTTTATACCCCCACTCCCCTTAATAGATGTTTAAATCACAAAAATTAAATAGTCAGCAAAATTACTACCTATATACATTGAAAAAGTTTTTTAATGTTTACAATGCTTTTAACTTTTATTCAGTTGTTTATTCTTTTTAGAATATTATGTTATCAATTATTAAAAGAAGAATATCGAGAAAAATGAAAAGTATAAAAATAAATCTATATGATAGAATTTATTTATTTTAAGAATTATTTTGTATATATCAGCCATTTGCAAAGTACAAAACATTTAATATTTTTTATTGATAAAAGAGTTTTAAAAGTAACATTTTCTGTAGTTGTACAGAGTATTTTAATAATGCTCTATGGGGATACCTAAGCATAAAACTTTAGTTTACTAGGGTGAGCAGATTTATCTGTCTTTTAAGATTTTTACTTTTCCATTATGGTTAAAAAGAACTTTCTTTTAATTCAGGTGAAAAGAATCAGAGAAGACATAAACAAGACAGGTCAAATTGTGACAGATGACGATGATGATGATGACACTGACAATGCTTTCAAACCTAAGCAACTCCCCTATAAAGGTCAGTGTTTTACAAATTCTAGTCTGTAACATAACATTAGCACATCAAACAAGCAAGCACATTTGCTAAACCTTTTACTTTTACCAAACAGAGGTTCTGTTATACTTATTGTAGTCAGTTAACATATTCACATCAAATTAGCAAATACATTTGAAAAGCCTTTCATCAATCAAAAGTTCTGTTATACAAATTATAGTCAGTTAGGTTAACACACGCACATTAAACTAGGAAATTCACTGGAAAAGCTTTCATCAAATAAAATATCAGTCATTGATCAAGTCCATAAGGTTTTGAATCTTCTTAACAAAAACTTTTCATGATATCATCATTTTTACTTTCTCATATATACGAAGTAATAAAAAAAAATCATGCAAAAAAAAATCGAGATTTTTACAAATCTCGACGTTTTACACCTCACTGATATGGAAAAACATAATTTTGCAATCTTGTCTGGATGTCTGTTTGTGTGTGTCTGTCTGTCTATCTGTGTGTGTGTGTGTGTGTGTGAGTAAACACGATAACTTGAGTACCGTTACAGCTAGGTTGATGAAATTTCATATATAAGTATTTTATCAAAATCGTAGATCCATATCAACTTTTGAGCGATTTCCGATAACCGGAAATGGTACTTTTTCTACTTTGAAATTTTCAATAGCCTATAACTTGAGTACTATTTCAAATAGATAAATGAAATTTCACACGTAAATAAAAGATCTAATTCTCTACCTTCTCTCAAATTTTGAGTAATTTCCGTTGACCGGAAGTACTAATTTACGCTATTTCCGATTTCTCAAAAAATGCATGTAAATTTATAAAGTACTAATAATATCCCGCACTATTATGCACATTTTATTAGGCGTTCACTTGGTGTGCAATTCTTTTTTTTTATGAGATTCTATTCTATTATAAAAAGTTTAAGTAATTAAAAATGGATTACAAATATTGTCTATGTCCTGAGTTGCCATCCCTCGTAGTTTTATATTAGAATATTCGAGAAAGTTTAGGGGAGATCACTCCCGGTTTATTTAATCTGAGTTAACAGTTAGCACTGTTAGCGTTAATTAACTACTCTTAAGAGATGATTTTGTAATCTTCCTTAATATAAGAGCTATCTCTTTCTGGTTCGTACATTGTATAATTAATATAATCACCATCTTTTGCTGTGTGTGCCACAGGCACATGGGGCAGATGAAGTAGAGTTTATGTTTCAATAACTATTGCAGGAGAATAGTACTATGCTCAGCTGCTTTAGTTTCCCTGAAGTGAGTCAGGTACTGATCAGAGCTGGGTTGACTCAGGGACATCAACGAGTCAAGGATCCAAACTTATAGAGATTTAGATTAATAATCAATGCTATACTTGTTTATAAAAATTGTGCTGTATTTATGTTTTATTTCAACCTGAAAATATTAATTAAGATTAAGACATTGTGTTTTAATGTCCAGAAATGAGCGAGGATCGAAGTCTGCTGGACAGCTTAGCCCAACCTCCGTCTCAGCTTGCCTTGTCCCAGTCCCACAGTTGTATAGAGCTGTGTACCCTAGGGGAGGCGGGTCACATGACACTCTACGAGAAGGAGGAGATCCCACTTGAGCCTGGAACTGTGTGGCGCAGTAGGCGGGAGATTGAGGAGAGGCAGAGGTGGGTCTTGTGGTTTGAACTTTGTGGGTATGTGGTATCTGCTTTGTGGGTCATGTGGTTTAAACTTTGTGGATCATGTGGTTTAAACTTTGTGGGTCATGTGGTTCAAACTTTGTGGGTCATGTGGTTTAAACTTTGTGGGTCATGTGGTTTAAACTTTGTGGGTCATGTGGTTTGAACTTTGTGGGTCATGTAGTTTAAACTTTGTGGGTAATGTGGCGTCTGCTTTGTGGGTCATGTGGCTTAAACTTTGTGGGTCATGTGGTTCAAACTTTGTGGGTCATGTGGTTCAAACTTTGTGGGTCATGTGGTTTAAACTTTGTGGGTCATGTGGTTTAAACTTTGTGGGTCATGTGGTGTCAAATTTGTGGGTCTTGTGGTGTCAACTTTGTGGGCCATGTGGTGTCAACTTTGTGGGTAATGTGGTGTCACTTTGTTAATGTGTTATTTTTGTATTTAGGTCATATTAAAGTGCTATTTTTGTACTTATGTTGTATTTTGATTTACTTGTTATAATTATGGCTGTTATTTGTCCATTACTTATTTCAATGTTATATTGATGTATTTTGTAACATTAATGACCTAAGTGAACCTAAATGACCTGAGTGAAAATGACCCAAGTGAACATTAGTAACCCTAGGGAAAACATTAATGACCTGATTGAAAATTAATGACCCCAGAGAACATTAATGACATTAGAGAACATAATGACCTGAGTGAATATTAATGACATTAGAGATTATTAAAGACCTGAGTGAAAATTAATGACCTGAGTAAACATTAATGACCTGAGTGAACATGTTTTAGACTTTTCAGTGGTGATGGAGTTGAGGAAATCTTCCTGTCCACACGGCCAGTGCTGCGCTCCCTGAGCTTGAAGCAGGAGCGAGACAGCCCTCGTTACAGACTGCCAGAGAATCGCAGGTCACTCATGTCAGCTGTTGTTGGTAAATCATTAGATGACCTCAGGTCAGTTGATGTCAGTGACGTCGGTTTGACTGTCAGACAGCAGGGGTCCTATGGCAGGGAGGCTGGAGACTTGAAGAAATACAGTAAGTCACAACTGTGGTTGCTGTGGTCATTTTGTTCGTTTTGGTCATTTTGGTCTCTCTTGTTATTTTGGTGTTTTGGTCTCTCTTGTTATTTTGGCCTTTTCGTCTCTCTTGTTATTTTGGCCTTTTGATTTCTCTTGTTATTTTTTATCTGTTAATTGGTTTTGGTCTTATGAGATCCTGTCAATTTTGTAAAAGCTGTTGTTGCCTACCCCACTCATTAGTGTCTAATGTCTGGAGTTTAAAATACAGTATCCCAATAACGTTTCCTTAACTTGCGTGTCGCTGTTTTCCCCAGAGCCAGTTGCAGATGTCCCCATGGTTACATCTAGTGATGATGACACCCCCATCACACCTGGACTGGTCCTCAAGCAGACTAAAGGTGGGCACTCATATATTTAATTCCTTTGACTGCTTCAATAGTTTAAGCTTTATACACTTCATAAGGGACTGGTTACTATGATAGGAGTGAATTTTTTGGCAAAGAAAAGTTATTCTTTTTTATTCTGACTTTAAATTAAGTAGCTTTCTTCCAAAAATAAATTATTACCTAAAATTTATACAACCATATTCAGTTACAATTAGTTAATATAAAAATGTTTAATTTTTAAATAAACGATTCTGAAGGTTCTACGTAAATGAGTAAAAATATGTGTTATTGTAGTGTGGCTACTAAAAAATAAATGAGCTAAAAACAATTCCAGTAAACCATGAAAACAATTCATGGCTGAAAGAGTTAATGTAACTTGACTGTTAAATGGTTTTAAAAAATTAAAACTTGAATCTTTCATTGTTGACTTATACCCTGTTATCATCAAATAACAGTAATTCCTCAAAATTAGCAGTACAATGTTTTTATATTCAAGAGCTGATCCATTTATTTCCACAGAACTGGAGAGTAGGTTTGACCACGTCCAGTCTCAGGGTGGCAACTCAGATACCACCAGCCCATGGACGAGTGGTCAAGCTGTGTCCAGCACCCCTCTGCTGACCTCACCGCCACATAAACTGGCCCATTTCTCCGACTACCACGAGCCCTGTGAGGAAAATGTGGCTCAAGGGATCTCACACAGGAGGAGTAACTTTGACTCCGAGACCCTTGCACTGATACGAGAGATTGGCTCGGCTCTCCTCATGAGCCCCAGCGGGTCCAAGTCTAAACTATCAGATGAGGAGGAGCCATGTACCAATATGGTCAAGTATTTTGTCAGGAAAATAGAAAAGCAAAATATTTCCCAGCCCAAGCATGATAATACTCTCACGGACGACGACAGCAAAGTTGAGAACGAGAACAGGGGCAGACAATCTATGGGTTATGATGAAGTAGATTGTGGTCATTTGTCTCCCCTGGCTCCAGTGCGGACAACCAAGACAACCAGTTTGACCTTGGACTTCAGCAGCCCAGCTCGTAATGTCCTGTCCAGTCCCAGACAAGAACGCAGGTATGGCAGCTGGAGGAGCCTTGACCAGACCAGTTCACAAAGTTTCCATCAGGCGTCTCCGTCTGACGCTGGCTGCGAGGGTAACCATTCAGGCGAGGCGTCAGCGTTCTTGACCCATGTTCCCGCAGCTGTTGTAGTCGGAGGCTTGGGCTCTGCAACTAGGTGGGACGAGGGTGGTGTGTCTGCTCAATCAAGCTCCGCCTCCTCACCGCGCTCACCCACGCACCACTCGTCAGATTCCGCAGAACCTTCTGTTGTCCGGCACCTAGTAGGAAAGTTTGAGATCAAAACCCCGGACATGGAGAGAAGCGTGACATCAGAATTTGGACACGACTACATCTACAAAGGCAGAGACCACTATGACAATTCCCCTTCTACTTCACCTACAACTCCACTAAAAGTCACCCCCAAACAGGACATCATATCTACACCATCCTTCAACACTCAACCCACCCTTCCATCATCTCTACCCTCCACCTCAGTGTTGAAACTCATCGACAACAGCCCAGTACTGTCATCCACTGTCTCGACATCGTCCTGCACACTGTCATCCCTTCACAGAAAACACACCTCCCTAGACAGCGCCCAGCCTCCACCACAAGCTAAAGGCTACTCTGATATAGCAGTGGAGCTGTACGAGCTCCCAACCATCTCTCAGAACATAGCCCTGGCCCAGACTAAAGAGAAGAAACCAGTTTCCGGACTTTTCCCTAGTTCATCCGCAAGTAAACCTGGACCAACGCCGTTCAGCAGGAGTAGTATGGAAGGGGGGGATTCCAAACCCTGGAGGTCAGTGCGACCTAAATCAGCAGACGTGGTCCAGACAGCAGATGTTTCGTTGGCGTATCAAAATGTGACAGACAAGAATGGGGACAGGAAACCAGTATTAATGGACACGTCCGAAGACGAGGCTGCCTTAAGACAAGTCTCTGAGGAGGGGAGGAAAATTCGACGGCTGCACGGGAAGTCACACCCCCTGACAAAGTTATCTGACACACGGACAGGCAAAGGACCTTTCCATAGCTCAATGTAATCATATTCTTCAACTCTTTGTATGTATGTAACAAAACAATCTTTAAAAACATGAATTCCTTGTATATTAGATAGATTTGTTTCTTTATCTGTGTTCTTCATAGTTTTTAATCAATTATATTCTTTATGTTCGGTTTCATCTTTGGTTTTTTTTTTATTTGTTTTTTTATATTCAAGGTCCCAGAGGATGCGACCATCCAAAGTTTTGTAAGCTATTTATTTTATCAGTTGTCAACAGACAGAATGAGATTTTGTCTTGCTCCTGGATCAGACTTTTGATGTTGTTTGTCTGCCTTGGACCTGTTTGTTGCTCTGTTTAGACAAGTTATTTTAAACATTCCAAAGTTTCCATTCTCTGGTTTTATTTTTGTTGTAACCTAGCCCGTCATGCACTGCCAAAGATCCAAAGACGATTGGTTTGGTGAATTGATAGAGCTCACTAGAAGACTTCCTTGACTAGATTATTGCTAAATGTCTTCTTGGTCATATTTTTGGTTCACTAACAACTCTATCAGGTGCTAAAGATGGACAAAAAGACAAATTTTATTTGTCTTTCAAGACTTTTTTTACCTTTACATCATGATTCACTAAACTCTTTGTGCAAAAAAAAAAACAAAATTTTTTAATAACATTTAAAATCTAAAACACAACTCATTAAGTTGATTTTATCTTCAATTTAGAAACTTTTTCCCCTTAAATTTAACATTAACCTCACTGCTTATTGTCCCCTTTCAACATTTTAAACATATTTCATCATCTTCAAGTAACAAACCACGAGGCTACTGTGTTAAAGTTCTATTGATGTTCTGTCTTAGCTAAAGCAGTGTGTGTAGTTGTGCTCAACCCTAAGTTTTATCAAATAAGCAAATGTTTTTGATAACCTTGCTAAATTATCACCAAATTTACTTGCTTTACAAAAAAAATAATTTTTAATTCTAAAAGCAGGATAGTGATGAGTTGCGAATATAAATGGCCTTAAGAAAAAAGTGCATGTAACGAAATATTTTGTCAATTTATCTTGTAAACTTGTTACAACATTACATCAGAATAGGCAAAAAGTTATTTTAAAATAAAGAAATGTTTTATTATGCTAATAAGGCTAAGTGTAAAAATGTGAACACACCGGCACTAGCTTAACAGGAGCATCCAGGTTTTATGTTTCTTGTCACAGTGTCTTTCTGTAGTTTTAATCGGAGCATCTCGCTGTAGCATTTTGTTGTCCACTTTTGTGATATGACCACTACATATCAAGTCACGTGACCTGAGTTGTGTTTTGTCCAAGCATGCCCAGAACTTTACAGTCGTGGAGGTAGCAAGCATTGGGCTTTATCTCCACTCATTGAATGAGCCAGTTTACTCAGTTGTTAAATGATTTGTTTATCGTATTTTGTTTTAATGTTTCAAGCTTACTTGTGCTCTATACTAAACTCTAACACAGTAACTTTATTTTTAAAATGGCATTTTCTTTATTAATTTAATGCAATTTAAAATTAACTGGGTTTTCTGTGCGACCATCATTTAATGAATTAAACAAGCTTAATATGGTGATGTAAAATCTTAGGCACCTGAATGGTTTGTTTTAAAATTTAATTTTTTATTGATTAAAGAAAAGTTAATGTATTTATCTAGTCTAGAATGTTTGTCCAATAGTAGACTATGGAGTTAAAACAGCTAAACCTTTGTTAAAACTTAAAACATCACTA